TGGGAGCAAATCACCAGATCTTTTCTCCCACAGAATCACTGGTAGGTTCAAACCACTGACCTTTTGGTTAGCAGCTTAGTGCCTAATGATTGCTCCAGCAGGGCTCCTTAAAAGGCAGCATACTACAGTATATTCCACAGAAGCAATTCTCTAATTTTTTGGTCTTATCTTCTTCACATTCTTAGAAATTATTGATGATCCCAAGGGATTTTGTTTATGTGCTTTTCTTATTGATATTTACTTTATTGGAAGTTAAAAATGAGAAGTATTTTAAATGTTTGCTTATTCATTCATTGAAAATAACAGTCACAGATATTTTATCTATTAAATAACATTTTTTATTAAAGACAACCTGTATTCCTCAAACCAAATAATAATAATAAATAGGTGAGAGGAGTGATATTGGTTTCCTTTTTGCAAATCTCTTTAATGTCAGCATAATAAAGATGCCTGGATTCTCATATCTGCTTCTGCATTCAGTCTGTTGCAATAAGATGTGTTGTGTTCCCACTGAAAAACTCCACTATAAGTTCATGATAGAATGAGAATGAAAAGATAAATCATACTTAGCATTGTTATGAAAATGGTTTTGACCTCATGGATTCCCTAAAAGAGTTTTAAGATCCCTCAAGAGTCTGTGGCCCACACTTTGAGAACTACTGTTCTGCAGTATATCAAATTCTAGGATCAGACAGCCCTAGTGTCAAATCTCAGCTCCACCACTTGCTTGCTGTGTAACCCTAAGCAAGTTAATCTACTTCTCTAGAGCTCTACTTTCTCATTTATAACTAGGATGATAAGACATTAACTTCCTCATAGGATTCAGGAGAAGATTAAGTGAAATAATGTGTGTAAAAACCCATAGCTCATTACCAGGCATATTGTGCAGAGATCATCCAGCTCTACTCTGTGGATGAGGATCTGATGCCTAAAGGGTGAAGCCACTTGTCCAAGGTCAGTTTCTCTTCTCCCAGGCCCTGTGCAGGGTTTATACCTGGGTTTTGCTTTACCAGTCGTGGGCTATCTGAAGCTTAAGACTTTCAAGTGGGTCATATTTAGTGTCCCTCATGGTAGTAGGAGGGAGCAGAGACCTCACAGAGGCAGGAGAGGGTGAAGGGAAGAACTAGGTTGCACATTCATAGTTGTATTTTGCAGCCATCTTCCTGAAGCAATGTTCTCAAGGTAAGTCTATGCACTGGCCTCCATTTTACTTCCTGTGTACTCTTTGATGTTTTCTGAGATCCTCTCCAGCCCTATTCTCTACTGCACCCCACATGTATTCTCCTATTCCCCAAGGAATACCTCAGCATCACTCATACTATTGTTCCAGCTTCAACCATCTTATATATTGTTGCAAAAATTAAATTAGGTAAGGGGTATGAAATGCTTAGTACCATGGCTGGCACATGGTTCCACTCACTTAAGTGTAAGTTGCTATTAGACCCATCATCAATCTCGTCTCTTCTATTAAGTCTCCTCTGAGTGGTCTAATTACATTGATCTCTCCTCTTTGGCCAGTCCTACAGAGCAAAATAAGGAACTCCAGTGGCACAATGTTTAAGCGCTTGGCTGCTGACCATAAGGCTGGTGGCTCAAACCCACTGGTGGCTCCATAGGAGAAAAGACCTGACAACGTGCTCCCACAAAGATTTCAGCCTAGGAAACACTATGGGGCAGTTGTATCCTTACATATAGTGTCACTGTGAGTTAGAATCGACTTGAGGGCACATAAAAACACTCAACAAAATACTAACATCTCCTGTTAGAAAGTCTTACTGAGCAAAGTATCAGAATTCTTGCATTAATCAAAATATCAAGCAATAAAATGCTGCCTTGTTGGTAGACACCTCTCTGAGGTGGCTATTGAAAAAAAAAAAAAAAAATCACTGCCTTTGAGTCGATTCTGTCTCATACCTACCCCTCCTTGGGTTTCCGAGGCAGTATCTCTACAGAGGTAGATTGCCCAGTCTTCCTTCCAAGAGGTGGCTACAGGAGTATAAAAACTCTTCTAGTCTCTAAAAGAACAGTCTCTACCATTAAAAACATTCTTATTTAGATGTTCAGAAGAAGTGCTTACTCTTTAAAAGGCATTACTAAAAATTACCTGGTTTTAATTCCATTTTGCATATGAGGAAACCAAGTCAGAGAAGTTAATATGGCTTGTGCAAGGACACACAGAGAAATGTCCACACTCCCCATATAAGGAATTGCCAAAATTCAGGACATTGTTACTTTTGAATCATACATTTGTCCTGATTATTTTTTATTGAAAGAAAACTAAAATGTAAGAGACAGGGCTTAGTCAAAATGATTCTGCTATTTTTTCAGTGCTTTTCAAAACATAGTGCCTAGCAATACTCAGGGATATTACCAGCAGTGCTATTGGTTCAGCTCCATTATCCAAAGATCCCAGGCCAAATGTACACAGTTCACTCTGGCATTGGAGTTAGACCACTGAGGCAATGGCTGACATTAGGAGTTGTGTCTGGACAGCAGGACCAGCCACCCTGTGACCAAGCAACTATTTCAAAGAGAAAGATGTTTTGAACCTTTATACTACTTTCTACAAGTAGAAATTTGTGAGCCAGAATGAAGTTCAATAAAACTCTCTTACCTCATTCAGTACACTGATGAACATTTTTTTTAACTCATTCTTTAAGAAAAACATTTGCAAGTAAGAGAGAATATTTTCAAGATAAGGAGGGAGATATGATCTTTCCCTGTCTACGGGGAAAGGAAACAGAACCTTGAAGCACCTTCTTATGAAAAATAGACTTTAACCACACTCACATCCTCTTAAAAGTGCTGCCAAGGTCTCTCAGACCCTCATGGGAATTTCCACATGCTCTTCTCATAAATTATTTGCTTTTATCCTGATTACTTCAGGAGAGAAAGGGGCTAAAATTAGTGATAGAGCAAGATTAGTTGAGATCAAGTAGTCTACTCCATTGATAACTTTTTGTTACTTAACAGTCTTCAGTAGATTATTTGGCTGGTAAAAGGCCATTCTCTTATGCATGACTTTGGATCTGACATATCAAAAATACAGCACAGGTTTGAGATAAGACCATCATGACTTCAATTTCAAATCCCATTATTTGTTAGATGTGGGACTCCAGGATGAATTCCCTAAGGAAGTTTTTCTTTTAGTTGTATTTGCTAGAAAACTTTGATTTAGACATCCCTTTTGTGCTAAAATTATAAATCTAAGTTACAGACATGATAGTTTCTTATCAACAGTTGTGACTGCTTCTATAACTATTCCTGGACTGGTATATTCAACTGCTTGTCAGTTCTACTTGGGCATCTCATACCTGCACTCTTGATTCCTCCCATCACCACCATCACACTTATAAACTGCTCCTCTCACATTCTTTCCCAGCTTGGTCAACAGCAGTTTCCTTCATCTACTTGCTAAGGCCAAAAATCTTGGAATTATCCTTGAATCAGAATGATGATAACTCCTAATTCACATCACATCTATCAGTAATTTCCTGTTGGCCTTACCTTCAAAATAGATCCAAAATCCAACCTCTTCCCGCCCTCCCCCCCAAATTTTAACTGCCACTATCCTGTTGTTGTCATGTGCCGTTGAGTCAGACCTGACTCATAGTGACCCCTCCTTGGGTTTCCAAGTCGGTATCACTACGGAAGTAGATTGCCCAACCTTCCTTCCAAGGAGTGGCTGGTGGGTTTGAACAACCAGCCTTCTGGCTAACAGTCAAGTGCCTTAGGCACTATGCTACCAGAGCTCCTGCCACTATCCTAGTCCAAGCTAACCTGGCTTATTAATTAGCCTCCTAACTACGTAGCTTCCAAAGTAGTCTCCTTGCCTCTTTTCTTGTCCCCCACACTATTTTCCACATTAGAATTCAGAGTTGCCTTTTGAAAATGATGGTCAGAAAATATCATTTATTCGATTGAAACCTTCCAAAAAATTTCCATCTCAGAATAAATCCAGAGTCCTTTTAAGGCTTACAAGGCCACGTGTGATGTGATCCTTCTCGAGCCTTATCTCCTGCCCACACTACTCCTCCTCGCTTTGCGTTAACCACACTGGGCTCTAGCTGTGCCTGAAACTTGCCAAGAGCAATCCTTCCCAGGAGTTTAGCCCTTAGTTCCCTGACTGGAATCTGATATCTGCATGGCTTCTTCTCTTACTTCTCAGGTCCCAGCTCCTCCTTAGACTTCCATGACCAGACTGTCTGAAATAGTATCTCCCTTATCTTTTTGTCTGATTCCCCAAATAGAATGTAAGCTCCATAAAAGCAGAAACTTGTGTTCAATGCTATATCATGAGCACCAGGAAGAGGGCCCGACATAGCAGAAACTTAGGTATTTGTTGGATGGTTGGAAGAAGGAAGATCACATATGAAGGAAGACTGTAGCGTTGTATACATTGGCAGCAAACGGAACAAGCGCCTTGGGAACATGAAAAATACAAGCTATCATAACATCCACATCTTTGCTTTCCTAAAACTCACATACAGGACACTTGCTGAGTTTGGGGTTGTAAAAAGAAGATTAAAAGTGCAACCAACATAATGGAAATGTTTCAAAACTGGATTGTGGTGATGGTTGCACAACTCTCTATATTTACTAAATATCATTCAATTGTAGACTGACTATGGGTAAATTTTATGGGAGAATTATACCTCCATAAAGCTGTTTTGTTGTTGTTGTTATTTGCCATCGAGTCGGCCCCGACTCATAGCGACCCCTCCTTGGGTTTCCGAGGCAGTATCACTACGGAAGTAGGAATGCCCAACCTTCCTTCGGAGATAAAGCTGTTTAGAGAGAGAGAAAAAGAGGTGGTTGGGAAGAGACAAAAGAGGAGAGAAGTGACTGGGAATAATCAAGAACTCAGAATTCTATTCCTAAACCTGAAAATGGCTATTATTTTTTTCCAGGATCGACTGGCAAGAGATAAATCTCATGGCTGGTATAAATGTTTGAAAAATAACAGTCATCTTCTATTTTCTCTCACTTCTGAATAACAGGTATAAATGTGACTGTGAATGCTAGATTTATCTATTCAGATTCTTGGATTTATAAGTCAAGTGACTGCCGGAGTAGCACCTGTGAAGGTCTGGACCTTCTCAGGAAAATTTCAGTAAGTATTTGCCTTTGTAAACAGCTCATATTCTCTGGACCATCTCAGTGTGAAATGTGAGCTCATTTCCATTAGGCATCTCTTGCCTCATCTCCAGCCATGCAGCTGAGTGATTTGAGAGTTCCATCCCCCTTTCAGAATCCATGAAAATGGGAAGAACTTTGGCTGTGCACCACCTGTGGTAGTACAATGGTATTGAGGGGAATTATTTGGTTTCAACTGTGTTTTAAATACTTTTATATGTAAAGGATGGCCTTGTGTGCCTCAACAAATAACTGAGGTGTCATGTTAAAAATCACATTTCAAGGCCCTACCCCAGAGATCTCTATTTCAAGTCACCACCACATATTGGATCATGGCTTAATTGCTCAAGGACTGAATCTGAAAACTACTGTAAATTGGTAACTTTAATGTCACACTGTGGAAATGGTAAGAGAAAGATTCTTGCCTAGTACCTCTTTCCAATCCCCAACCCCACCCAAAACTTTATGGAACTTATTGTTTTTGTTATGTGCCGTAGAGTCAGATCCAACTCATAGCGACCCTTCCTTGGGTTTCTGAGGCAGTATCACTACGGAAGTAGATTGCCCCATCTTCCTTCTGAGGAGTGGCTGGTGGGTTTGAACCTCCAGCCTTCTGGTTAGCAGTCAAGTGCCTTAGGCACTATGCTACCAGAGCTCCTTTATGGAACTAATGAGGGTTAAAAATTCTCTAGCAATGAGTACAGGTGTAAGATGCCCCCTATACTACAAAAGAAGCCAAAGGGTAGTGCAAATGGTTAAGCATTCAGCTGCTAACTGAAAGGTTGGCAGTTTGAATGTACCTAGAGAAACCTTGGAAGAAAGGCCTTGTGATTTACTTCTGAAAAATCAGCCCTTGAAATACCTATGGAACACGTCCTACTGTGACACGCACAGGGGCACCATAAATTGGAATCAACTTGATGGCAACTTATTTATTTATACTACAGAAACCTAACAAAAGGCTCACAGAGAAGCAGAGCATTGGGAGTAGATTCACAGCTCTGAAACTATAATCAATCATCACACGGACCAGATGGGGCACATTCCCATTAGGAAGAGTAGCCTTGCACATTCTCAATCTTGGGAGGATGGGAGTGGGCAAAGATAGTTGAATACCCTCCACGGTAAGACCCAAGGAGAGTATGCTTCCTTCCTCTGCCTCTACAGAGGAAGGTATAACTTGGTTCTCCAAAACCAGAAATTGGATGATCTAGTTAGGTTTCCCTGTGTGAAATAGTAGAAAATGAGATCAATAATCACCCAATTGATGACATTGCATTTTATTTACTTTAACCCTGTTTTGGAACTCTCTCTAAAACCCTACCTTGCCTTCTCCCTTTAAAATATCTCCAAATCTACCTCCCCACACTCTAGGAACTCTGGTAGCATAGTGCCTAAGGCACTTGACTGCTAACCAGAAAGCTGGCAGTTCAAACCCACTAGCACTCCTCAGAAAGAAGGTTGGGCAATCTACTTCCATAGTGATATTGCCTCGGAAACGCAAGGAGGGGTCTCTATGAGTCAGGTCTGACTCGATGGTAAATAACAACAACAATCTGGCCAAGAGATGCTACTGCTGTTACAGTCTGCCAGTCCCTTTCCCACCCCCTGTATGTTCTCCACTGGATAAAGAATTCTAGTCCATCTCAGTCAGTCACCTTCAGTGGAGTCGTGTTCCCCTCTATCCACAGTGTTTCTTATCTCAGATGTCCTCATTCCTTAGCTTGTTTCCTAGTTCAAGACACCATATCGTTCTCCTTTCTTCTCTACCTTCTAACATTTTGGGATCACCCATTTGTAACCTTCTGGGAACCTTTCCAGGAGCCCTGGTGACACAGTGGTTACATTCTTGCTAACTGAAAGGCCAGCTGTTTGAACCTACCAGGCACTCTGTGGGAGAAAGATGTGGCAGTCAGCTTCTGCAAAGATTTACAGCATTGGAAACCTTATGGGGCAATTCTACTCTGTCCTGTAGGGTCACTGTGAATCAGAATTGATTCGAGGGCAGTGAGTTTTTTGGGAGCCTTCTTCTTGCCACTTTGTTCCTATCCCATTGATTAACTTTGTTTTTTCCTCCTATAGGAAGACAAACAGATGGGCTGTGTCCTCTTGGGGCCCTCATGCACATATTCCACCTTCCAGATGTAGTAAGTAGTTTTATTGTTGTTGTTGTTGTTTTAATACTGCTGTAAATTGAGTCAAGAAATCATACAGAAGTCAATCACAGAAAGACAAATATTGTATTAGTTCACTATCGTAAAAAGTCAAGAAAAAGTTTATACATGGAAGCAAACTTTCTTTGTTGGTTATCAGGGAGGGGAGAGATGGGGAGAGAAAAATTCCTAGATAGGATGAAAGATTATTAGTGGTTACCATGGGTAGGAGGGAGGGGGAAAGGATAAACCTTTTTTTTTTTTTTTTGTCAGGGCATTAAGTTTATGCTAATGGTGGTAGGGGAGCTCTGGTAGCATAGTGCCTAAGGCACTTGACTGCTAACCAGAAGGCTGGCAGTTCAAACCCACCAGCCACTCCTCAGAAGGAAGGTTGGGCAATCCTACTTCCGTAGTGATACTGCCTCGGAAACCCAAGGAGGGGTCGCTATGAGTCGGGGCCGACTCGACGGCATATAACAACAACAACAACAATGGTGGTAGAATATTTTGGAAAAGGATAGCAGTAATTATGGTGCAACATGAAAAATGTCATCAATGTTCCTGAGCTGTAAATGTGGAAGTTGTTATGTTGGTGAATATCTTGTTGTGTATGTTTTCACCACAATAAAAGTGAGAGAGAGAAAAAAAGATAGTTGCTTAAGTGATTTATCAAACACCCATCTAGTCAAGGTAACCAAATCAGAGTATTGAGGCCCTAGTATTTTGCCATCTCTTTTAACTGCTATTCTCTCATCCATATACCTCTACCTTTGCTCAGTGTGGGGTAAATTACAGTAGAAATTCAGGTTTAGTCACTAACATCTGAACTTGAGAGGCAGTTCAGATGTTAAAATTAGTAAGAGCCTTGGCAGGAATTAGGGAAGACAGTAAACTTGGATAATTTGAGGAGTTAAATAGAGGAACAAAGTCCCTGGATAGTGAGATGGTTAACGTGCTTAGCTGCTAACCAAAAGGATGGTGGTTCAAGTCCATCCAGAGGCACTTCAGAAGAAAGATCTGATGACCTGCTTTTGAAAAATCAGCCATCAAGAACCCCATGGAGCACAGTTCTACTGTGATACACATGGGGTCACCATGAGTTGGCATTGATTCGATGGCAACCGACAACAACAATATGTGCAAAGTGTTGGGAAACACAAAGGCTAGTGCAGCACAAGGGAGTATTAGCAGTACTCTGTTCTACCTCTTGGTCTGAAAAAGTAGGGGAAGGAACAGTGTACCTACTTCATAGGGTTATTTGAGGATTATATAAATAACATATCAAAGCACTTTGTACAGTGCACTTATCATCTTAGAAAAAGCTTTCAATATATTCTAGGATGCAAATATTCTCTGGCTTTGGGAAAACAACCCACCTTCATCCCTTCCGTTCATCTCACTTAGTGTAATTCACATCTCTTTTTTTCTGCCAGATCACACCTTCCCCCATCAAATTCCCTCTTGTTTGACCTTTTCAATCTCCCTTTGTCAAAGGCTTTGAGATCTCAAAACACTAAAAGCAATGGGAAAGTCAGGATTAGAAGCCACTTTTAAAAATAAAGGATAAGTTTGACTGTGAACATATTGAGTTTAAAACGCAAGCAGGACACCTGGTAAAACCTTTCAACGGATTACTGAAGATGGAAGGGGATATTGTTTTCCTTCATTTATAGAATACATATTAAGTACCCACATATGAACCAGGCAGTGTATAAATCACGGGTGATATTGAAGTGAATAACTCAGACATGGTCCCTGCCTTCATGGAGCTTACAATCTAATGGAGGAGACAGATATCCAAATAATTACCTGGTCTTAGGTATCAGGGAAGATTTACATTATGGATAAAGAGATATTTAATCTAGAACCTCATGGATGAGTAAGAGTCAGCCAGGCAAAGACACAGGGAACATCATTACTGGCATTTTTCAAGATCTGGAATCAAACTTAATGTGTTTAAAGAACTGCAAGAAGGTCCAAGTGCTGAGCAAGGGAAGCAGTGCAACTGATATCTATCTCAAAGGAAGCCCATAGAAGCAGCAGAGATAAGGCAATACGTGGAGGGAAACATATAGAAGGCATCTTCCTGGCTTTATAATTACTGTGGTAGCTAGAATAGTCCATCTTCTATTTTCTTAGCTTTATACCCCAAAACCAGTATGTTCCAGTCTACATTTCATGGCAACCCAAATGACAAACTATTTTTGTAAAAAAGTATCAAAGCCAGGTATTCATGAAAATGCCTAAAGTGTGTTTGGGACATAGCAGATGTTTGATCAGTGTTGTTTTTAAATGCATTTGTGTAGGAGGACACCTATGAGTGAGAGACCTGCTTGAATGGCCCTATTTCATTCTTATGATTTATATATACAGGCTAAAACAAGTTAAAGAGAGATCTTAACTTCAGTGTGCTACTGAAGTTAATCCTGATAATGGTTTCTTTCTTACCTCTCAACATAGCCTTGACACAGAATTGAACTATCCGATGATTTCAGCGGGAAGTTTTGGATTGTCATGTGACTACAAAGAGACCTTAACCAGGCTGATGTCCCCAGCTAGGAAGTTGATGTACTTTTTGGTTGACTTTTGGAAGGTCAATAATCTGCCATTCAAAACTTTTTCCTGGAACACTGCATATGTTTACAAGAACACTACAGAGTCTGAAGACTGTTTCTGGTAAGCAGGAGTATTAATACTCTGCTGGTACTTTGCATGAGAGAAGTCATAGACTCATGGAAGGTTCCTAGTTATTATCAGATATACCTTCCATCTGTAACAGCCATGAGAATGTACCCAAGCCCACTTTTCCACATGCAAATAAAAGTTACTGGGCCAGAGGAAACATAATATCCTATGATTACAAGCATATATTCTACTTACAACTTTTTCCTAATTTTCAAAATACTTTCACATAAGTTTTATTGATTTCCCAGAGTAAACCCTCTGAAGAAAATATAAAAAGTAGCACAATCCCCATTTTACAGATAAGGAAAATGAAAACCAGAAGTTAATGCTTTCACATTACTGTACATGATATGATCCAGAGAATGCATATGTTACCTGTATCTACAATTAGTTAGAAATTATTTATCTCACAGCTATTCAGAAAAGCAAGATAGGAGCAGAGGAGAGAATAGAATCAATATGCACCATTGCAACATTCACTCAACTCCAGCCAAGGTTTCCAGCAGAGGAAGTCTTTTGTTTGGATTACCATCTGTACTTCCAGGATACTGCTTACTTCTGAAGCCTACCTCCACCTAAGTATGCAGAAGGCTGAGATGGGGTATCACTTGGAATTAATATCTAGGGAACTATGACAATATATATGTACATGTATATATACACATACTATATGTGTGTATATATATATATATATATATATATACACACACACACATATAGTATTTATTATATGTATACACACACACACACATTTATCTCCTTGTGTGTACTGTCTGTTGCCTTAATAATGGAAATGAATTTTAGATAAACAAGTCTCAAGAGATCTGCAAACAATGAGTGAAGGGCATGGAAGTCCATGAAGAAACTAGGGTGGTTTCCTAGAGATTCTCTTTGCCCTGTTTCAGGTACCTTAATGCTCTGGAGGCTGGAGTTTCCTATTTTTCTGAGGAACTGGGCTTCAAGGATGTGTTAAGACGAGATGACCAGTTTCAGGATATCTTAATGGATCCAAACAGGAAAAGCAATGGTAAGAAGACATGAAGATGATTGTTGCCAACTTATTCCTCATGACTACCACCTCCTTATAAGTTATTTGATGAACCTACCACCTTAGAGCTCTCATTACCTCTATAGTTTTGTGTATTTTGGGGGATCTGTAGCTGCATGCAGCTCCATTATATTGCTTCTTTTGTTGATTATAACTTTATCCTCTGAAAGAAAAGAGTGGTGTTGAGCAAATATATTAACATAATGAATTAATGATGATGGTAAAATCAGCTTTATTAAACCTAAATGATACAGTGATTTACCATCAGTAAACTGATGTTCTCCTTAACTTAATTTGACTTTTGATTAATATGACTTGATTTGTGACTAGTTTTTACACATTCTGAACTCTGGTCTCTCTGATTACTTAAGAGGATAAATTTATTTATTGCTGCCCTAAGGCAAAATTACAAGGTACACAAAGATCCTCTTACTTCCTTCTCACTTTGCTTTAATCTCTCCCTAACTCATTTGCCCAATGAACTCCCAGCTACAGGCCAAGTGTGGAAGGCCAATGGGATAAAATCATTCTCACTAAGGTATTAGCTATGGAGCTCTGGTGGCTTAGTGCCTAAGACATTTGATTGCTAACCAGAAGGTTGGTGGGTCTAACCCACCAGCCACTCCTTGGAAGAAAGATTGGGCAATCTACTTCCATAGAGATACTGCCTCAGAAACCCACATAGGCGTTGCTATGAGTCGAATCTACTTGACGGCAGTGAGTTTGGTTTGCTTTGGTAAGGTACTAGGTGATATTTTGTACTTTCCACAGAAATATCTTTACAAACAAGAATAATTCAGGAACAAAGTATTCAATTGTGGGAATTTCCTACAAGGGAAGATCCTTGCTTGGCAGAATTTTCTCTTATTACTTGAATCATCATCTACTGTCATTATCAAGTATTTGTTGTATTAAGAACCTACCATTTGCAAAATATTGACCAAGATAATCGAAGAAAAGCAGAAGTATAAAACTATTCATGTCCCTAAAAAGTTTGCAAGCCAGCTGGACAGCACTTTTCATAAAAAGATCTGATAAAGCGTCACCCAACTCTTTACCCAAAAAACCATGCATTTGGGAAATGACTGGCTGTAGTTAGTGATAGAGCTTATCAAGTCAGATTGGACTGTGACATTGAAAGTACAAAAACTGTGTTCTGAACTCAGAAGCTACAGAAAAAGCCCAAGGAAAACTGCTTGGAATGATTTAATGATTTATTTTTACATTAACTTTTACTTTATCTTTTCAACCACTTTTCCAAATAGAAACATGAGCTTCGCTGATCTGTGAAAATAGTCATTGTAAACACACTGTAAAGGACCAAGCACTGAGCCAGGAGTCATAAACTTGTCTTTTATCAGATCTAGCTCTGTCATCTACTAGTTCTTTGACCCTTTGGCACCTGAGCTTCAGCCTCCTTATAAAATTAAGGAGATGAATGAGATGATTCTTTTTAAGTCCTATACAGTTGTATTTTGACTCTATGATTGCAAATGAAAGGAAAAAGGAGATTTGATGAATTGGTTTGAATCTTTTTTTTTTTTTTAATATATAGCATGGACATGCTGGATCCAAATTCAACTGATCCATTCCCTATTTATGTGTAGACCATTGTGCATTTTTATATATTTTTTTCTCTCTGTCCTCCAGTGATTGTTATGTGTGGGACACCCAGTATCATCAACTCCCTTAAGGGTGACCGGCCAGTGGCTGAAGACACTGTCATCATTCTAGTGGATCTATTCAAGTAGGTATAATATTTGGAGAAATCTCCTATTTTAGGATAGAAATAATCCAAGGATTTCCAGGACACATATTCCTTCTTTACTTGTTTGGCCAGCTTCTTATGGAGTTCAGTATAATAATAATACTTGAAACAGTTTTTCATCCCTTCTTCATTACATCTTCATGGTTATTTCATCAATTTTGGCTGTTGACACCTCTATCATGTTTAAATACAACAGATCTGCTTAGTCAACAGAGAATTCTAATCTCCAGTCTATATTTAAGGTCTTTGTTCAAGTAATAATAAATCAACTGAAAACCTGATAATATTATTCCTGGAATTGTGGGCCATATTTGTCCCTTCAATTGCTAATGGCCTTTGGTCGTAGATTACTTTTTCTCTGGCCACCTTTGGTAAGAGGAAAGTTCCAGTTAAATTACTCTGATTTATTCTTTGCCCTCTGTCACATCAGTGCTGGGTAGTGCTGTTTTCCTCCTCTCTTCCCGGGGACTAAGGAGAGAAAATTTTGAACCAAAGACTACCTTTCTGTACAACACTTCTTTTTACCACTTGTCTTCTAATATGGTAGAAGACCACACTAACAAACTGTGCCAAGGTGATATACAAGTCAGACTAAGCTTAAAGAAGGTGTCACTCATTGTGCCTATGCTACTTGCCCCCATCAGCTAGATCACATGACTTGTTTTGCCTGACTGGATTATTAATCATTACCTGTCTGTATTCAGATCATATGTTGTTACTACTAGATTTTCCCGTATAAGAAGGCAAAATTGTTCACATTTCAGCCTTACTGTCACTTTGATTTCAAAAGCTGCTTTGTTCTATGGACGGAGTCCTCAGTGCAACCAGGTTTATGTCATTTCCTTTCAGTAAAACCTCAGCCAATTGCCAAAGGGCTTGTACTCCTTTGTTAATATTCCCAAAGGACATCTGGCAATGTGTTGAGAAGATCATGAGATTCAAAACTAGACATACCTGGGTTCACCTTCTAATTCTGATACTTCTGGTTCATTTGACCCTTGGGCTATTACTTAGCTGCTAGAAATTAAATCTTCTCATCTGTAAATGAGAAGAAAAATAATCACTTTATCATGGTATTTTTAGGATTATGCAAAAATGCAAACACAACCACTGCCGTGGAGTCAGATCCAACTCATAGCGACCCCTCCTTGGGTTTCTGAGGCAGTATTACTATGGAAGTAGATGAGCAAAATACTAAACATAGTCTTTAGCACATAGGAGATGTGTTCACTAGTGGTTTGAACATCAAATGACGGTCACCCTAATTATAGAAGTTAAAGATGCTAGGTTATTTCCACATTAAAACATTCAAATGATTAGAAAGTGTAGAAGTGTATTATTTACAGAACAATCTCAGACAGTATTGAGAGTCTTTCATGTGACAAACAAGGTCTAGGAGTTGAGGAAACAAGGGTCAATAAGCCAATGTCCCCTGTGTCAAGATTACCATTTTAGAGAAATGTTTAATCTTTTTGTGCTTAATGTTTTACATTTGAAAAGTAAGTTTAATTGATAAAATTTCTCTCGCTTATATCCCAATATCTCTAAATAATTTTGAGCACCTATGAAAAGAAATTTTCCAGATCGGAACCAAGGATCACAAAGCCTTGAAAGCAAGCACTAGCTCACACACCCAGAGCCCCCAAAAATCACCCTCAAAGAAGTATACATATTCTGGTCTTCCTTTCCATTAGTCTGTGTTAACCACAGTTGCCTAAGTTCTCATATTCAACCTAGCAAGTGTTGAAGAAAATAACCTACCCAGGGAAAGTAGAAAGTTTTGTGGGCTATGAAACTAAAAAAACTTTTAAAACTATTTTCAAGGCTGAACTTATAGTTTGTATTAATTTTTGAAGATGCATTTCTATTTTTGGAGGGCCGTGATTTGCATGGGAAACCACTGATCTTTTTTTTTTTTTAAACAGTAACGTGTACTTTGAGGAAAACGTTACAGCCCCTGACTTTATGAAAAATGTCCTTGTGCTAACACTGCCTCCTATAAATAGCTCTTCTTCCTCCAAAGACCTAGCACTGGTAAGTTACATATTTATGTGCTGTTATTTTCTTTATCAAAAGTAATATAATTATTCTCCTATTGGGGCCCAAAGTTCTAAAATGAGCAATTGCTTTTACTCATTTCTATTAACTCAACAAATGTTAACTGAGACCTACAATGTGTGCAACATTTTACAATAGCAGGATCTCTACCAAAACTCTTATTCCAGGGAACTGTGCTGGACCAGCAGCATGGCAAGAGATGCCTGTGTAACGTCAGAGTGGGAGTGACAGTGTGAGAAGATAGGAAGGGGTCCTGCTGCTGAGAGTCCGTCTTATATTTAGGAATAGGAAAAAAAAAAAAAAAAAACTATAGAAAACAGTTGCCATTGACTCAATTCTTACTCATGGAGACCCCGTGTGTGCTACAGTGGAACTATGTTCCATCAGTTTTCTTTTTGTCACCTTTACTGTAGTGAAAACATACACAAGATACTCGCCAACATGAATAACTTCCACACTTTTAGCTCAGAGACATTGATGGCATTTTTCATGTTGCTATCTCTTTCCAAAATATTCTAACACCATTAGCACAAAACAAAAGCTTCCCCTTTCTCCCTCCCTCCTACACTTGGTAACTACTAATAATTTTGGGGATATATATATGTGTATGTGTGTGTGTGTGTCCCAAGCTATCTAGGAAATTTTCCACTCATCCCCTTCCATCTCTGGTAACCAACAAAGAAAGTTTTCCTTCAATGTCTAAACCTTTCCTTGACTTTTTATAATAGTGGACTAATATAATATTTGTCCTTCTATGATTGATTTATTTCACTCAGCATAAAGTCCTCCAAGTTCACCCAAAAAATGTTGTGTTTTATAGATTCTACATTATAATTTAGAGTTGCATAGTATTCCATTGTGTATATGTACCACAGTTTGTTTATCCATTCCTCAGTTGATGGGCACTTAGGTTGTTTCCATCTTTTTGCTATTGTGAATAGTGCTGTGATGAACATGGGCATGCATATGTCTATTCATGTCCTGCCTCTCAGTTCTTTAGGCTATATACCTACTAATGGAATTGCTGGATCAAACGGTGTCTCTATTTCCAACTTTTTATGAAATCACCGTACAAATTGCCACAGTGGTTGTATCATTTTACAGTCCCATCAGCAGTATACCTCTCCATGTCCTTGCCAGCTTTTGTTATTTTCTGACTTGTTGAACTTTGCTATTAATACTGGGGTGATATGATATAGCATGGTTGTTTTGATGTGCATCTCTCTAACGGCTAATGATCACAAACACATCTTCATGTGTTTGTTGGCTGCCTGAATATCTTCTTTGGTGAAGTGTCTGTTTATGTCTTCTGCCCATTTTTCAATTGTATTGTTTTCAGTTATTAGAGTTTTCTATAAATTTTAGAGATAAGTCCTTTGTCTGATATGTCATTGCTGAAGATCTTTTCCCATTCTTTAGGTTCTCCTTCTACTCTTTTGGAGAAGTCTTTTGATACACATAAAAATTTAATTTTTAGGAGGTCCTAATCATCTAGTTTGGGAGCTCTGGTAGCATAGTGGCTAAGGCACTTGACTGCTCACCAGAAGGCTGGCGGTTCAAACCCACCAGCCACTCCTCGGAAGGAAGGTTGGGCAATCCTACTTCCGTAGTGATACTGCCTCGGAAACCCAAGGAGGGGTCGCTATGAGTCGGGGCCGACTCGACGGCAAATAACAACAACAACAATCATCTAGTTTATCTTCTGCTATTTGTGCATTATGGGTTATGCTTGATAGTCTATTTATATCATAAATTAGGGTCCCTAAGTTTGCCCATATTTTTCTTTGGTGAACTTTATAGTTTTAGGTTTCACATTTAAGTCTTTGATCCATCTGGAGTTTGTTTTTTTTAATATAGCATGAGGTATGGATCTTGTTTCATTTTTCTACAAGTGAATATCTAGTTTTGCCACTGCCATTTGTTACAGGGACTATCTCTTTCCCATTTAATGGATTTCAGCCCTTTGCCAAAGATCAGCTGACCATAGGCCAATGGATCTATTTCTGGGTTCTCAGTTTTCTTCCACTGGTCTATGTGTCTGTGATTGCACCAATATCAGGCTGTTTTGACAACTGTGTCTGTATAGTAAGTTTTAAGATCTGGGAGTGTGAGACCTCCTACTTTGTTCTTCTTCTTCAGTTGTTATTGTTATGTGCCATTGAGTCAGACCTGACTCAAAGTGACCCCTCCTTGGGTTTCCAAGGCAGTATCACTACAGGAGTGAATTGTCCAGCTTTCCTTCCAAGGAGTGGCTGGTGAGTTTGAACCACCAGCCTTCTTCAGTAGTGCTATGCTTATCGAGGTCCTTTTCCTTTCAATATAAAATTAGTGTTTGTTTTTTTTCCATGTCCTCAAAGATGTTGATGGAATCTGGATTGGGATTGCATTGTATTGAATGTATAGATTGCTTTGGGTAGAACAATTTCACAATGTTCAGTCTTCCTATTCATGAGCATGGTATATTCTTTCATTTATGTAGGTCTCTTGTAGTTTACTTCAAGTAGTGTTTTGTAGTTTTCTTTGTATAGGTCTTTTGTGTTCCTGCTAAGATTTATTTCCAAGTATTTTATCTTTTTGGTAGTTATTGTAAATGGTATAAATTTCCTTATTTACTTTTCAGAAACCTCTTTACTGGTGTAGAGGAATCCAACTGATTTTTTATGTTAATCTTATATCCTGCCACTATGATAAATATTTCAGTAAGTTCCAGTTGTTTTCTTGGTGATTCTCTTGGGTTTTCTATATATAGGATCATCTCATCTGCAAGTAGGGATAGCTTTACTTCTTCCTTACCAATTTGGGTGCTTTTGATTTCCTTTTTTTACCTTATTGCCCTGGCTAGGACTTCTGATGCAGTGTTGAATAGAAGTGGAGATAGAGGGTGTCCTTGTCTCATTTCTTTTTGCAAGAGAATGGTTTCAGTCTTTTTCCATTGAGAATAATGTTGGCTGCTGGTTTGGTACATATGACCTTTATTATGTTGAAGAATTTCCCTTCTATTCCAATTTTTCTGAAAGTTTTTTTTTTTTTAAATCAGGAATGGGTGTTTGGATTTTATCAAATGCCTTTTCTGTATCGATTGATAGAATCATGTGATTCTTTTCCTTTATTTTACTTATGTAATGGATTACATTGATTGGTTTTCTAGTGTTGATCCATCCTTGCATACCTGGTATGAATCTCACTTGGTCGTGATGTATTTATTTACTTATTTATTTATGATATGCTGTTGGAGTCTATCAACTAGGATTTTGATGAAGATTTTTGCATCTATATTCATGCTGGATATTGGTCTGTAGGTTTCCTTTCTGGTGGTATCTTTGCCTAGTTTTGGTGTCAGGGTTATGCTTGCTTCATAAAATGAGTTTAGAAGGATTCCATCCTTTTCTATATTCTGGAATAATTTGACTAGGAGTGGTGTCAGCTCTTCTCTGAATTGCTGGTAGGCTTCTCCAGTGGGCCAGGACTTTTTTTTTTCTGTTGGTAATTTTTTTTCTGATCTGTTCAATTTCTTCTTTTGTCATGGCTCTGTTCAAATTTTCTACCTCAGTCTATGTTAGGTTAGGTAAGTAGTGTGTTTCTAGAAATCTGTCCATTTCTTCTAGGTTTTAAAATTTGTTGTAATATAGTTTTTCACAATATCCTGATATTCTTTTTATTTCTGTTGGTTTTGTAATGATGTCACCCCTTCCATTTCTTATTCATGTTATTTGCATCTCCTCCCCCTTTTCCTTTGTTAAGGTTGCCAGTGGTCTGTCAATTTTATTAATCTTTACAAAGAACCAACTTCTAGTCTTACTGATATTTTCTATTGTCTTTCTGTTTCATTCATTTCTTCTCAAATCTTTATTATTTCTTTTCTTCTAGTGAGTGTAGGCTTTTTTTAACTGCTCTTTTACTAATTGTTGGAGATACTGGTTTAAGGTGTTGATTTTGGCTCTTTCTTCTTTTTTGATGTGTGCATCTATTGCTATAAATTGCCCTCTGATCACTGCATTAGCTAAGTCCCAAAGATTTTGGCATGTTGTGTTTTCATTATCATTTGATTCAAAGAATTTTAAAATTCAATTTTTATTTATTCTGTTACCCAGATGTTTCTGAAGAGGGTGTTATTAAGTTTCCATGTATTTGCTCTTTTTCCATTGGTCATCCTAGTGTTGATTTCTAATTATATAGCATTGTGATCTGAAAAGATGCTTTGCAGTATTTATGTTTTCTAATTTATTGAGGCTTGCTTACTGGCCTGAAGAATGTTCCATGTGTGCTGGGAAAGAATGTATAGTTTGCTGTTGTTGGGTGAAATGCTCTGTAGTTGCCTATAAGGTCAAGTTGTTTGATCATATTGTTTAGTTCTTCTGCATCTATCTTGAGTTTCTTTCCTGTTCTATGTTTCATTGAAAGTGGTGTATTAAAGTCTCCTGATATGACTGTGGAGTCATATATTTGTCTTTTCAATTCTGTTAAAGTCTGCCTTATATATTTTGGGGCTCTTTCATTGGGTGAGTAGATATTTATTATGGTTATGTTCTCTTGTTCAATAGATTCTTTAATTGTTATATATATAATGTCCTCCCTTGTCTCTGATGGTTATTTTTGTCTCAAAGTCCATTTTATTAGAAATTAATATTGCCACTCCTGCCCTTTTTTGGTCGCCATTTGCTTGGTATATCTTTTTTACCAACCACAGATTTTTAGTCTCTTTTTGTCTTTGTGACTAAGGTGAGTCTCTTTTAGGTAGCATATTGATGGGTAATGTTTTCTTATCCAGTCTGCAACTCTCTGTCTCTTAGGTGGTGCATTTAATCCATTTACATTTAATATAATTATTGACAAGTAATGAATTTATTGATGTCATTTTGTTATGTGTTTTTTCGTGGTGTTGCTAATTTCTTCATTCCATATAATTTTCTGTGCTGAACTCATTCTGTTTATGAATCGTATTTAGTATTTGCTAAATATTTGTGCCTGCCCTCATTTTTATTTTGATGTGAAGATTTATTATTTTTCTTTGAGGTTACCTTGTGATTTATACTTTTCTTCCCAAGTTTAAAATAGTCTGGCCTATCTTGCAATTGTCTTGACTTCCTCATGATTTAGAAGTTCTGTAACAACACTATTTATTCCCTCTTTTCAGTCTGTAGTTGTCCTCATTTACCAATTGATGTCTCTGGTTCCCTGTTTACTTGCCTCTTGTAAGCTTATTTACTTTAGGTGCTTTTATAACTGGGTTGGCTTCTGGGTTATGTCGTCATGTGTGTTAATAATCTCTTGTTGTTTGTTCTGGTTGGTTCTCTGTCCAAAGGATTCCCTTTAGCATCTCTTGTAAGATTGGTCTGGTTTTAACAAATTCCCTTAATTTCTGCTTATCTGGAAATGCTCTAATTTTACTATCATATTTGAGAGACAATTTTGCTGGGTATATAATTTTTAAGAGCTCTGGTGGCATAGTGCCTAAGGCATTTGACTGCTAAGCAGAAGGCTGGTGGTTCAAACCCATCAGCCACTCCTCAGAAGGAAGATTGGACAATCTACTTCCATAGTGATGCTGCCTCAGAAACACAAGGAGGGGTCACTATGAGCCAGATCCAACTCGACGTCTGTGAGTTTGGTTTAGTTTTGGTATATAATTCTTGGTTGGAAATATTTTTCAATCAGGGTTTTATATAGATCATCTCATTGCCTTCTCACCTACATGGTTTCTGCTAAGAAATCAGAGCTTAGTCTTATTGGTTGCCCTTTGTAGGTAACTTTTTGTTTTTCCATTATGCTTTTGGTTTTGGTGAGTTTAATTATGATATGCCTTGATGATTTTCTTTTGGGGTCTATCCTGCTTTGGGTTCATTGAACTTCTTGAATGGATATATTCTCTTTCAACAAATCTTCAACAATTTTCTCTGTGGTTTTATTTGTCTCTTCCTGTTCTGGAATTCCAATTATATGTAGGTTATTCCTCTTGATGGTATCTCACATGAACCTTAGGCTTTCTTCATTTTGTTTTGATCTTTTTTTCTGATTGATCCTCTTAACAAAGTAATGTTGAGGTATTTATCTTCAATCTCATTAATTCTGTCTTCCATTGATTTGATTCTATGCTTTTGTCCATTCAATGTTTTATCTATTTTTGAAAACTTACTATTAGTCTTCTGGATTTGTATTTGTTGTTTTTGTATTTCTAATGGTTTGTTTTGTTAATTTGTTTTTGTATTGTTTTCCTAAATTGTTCTAGAGTTTTGTGGTGTTTTTCTTACTTTTGTCAGTGTTTTTCTTGCTCTTGTCAGTGTTTTTCTTGATCTGTCTCTCAATTTGTTGATGGTACCCAAATATAATTCTTTTGAATTCTTTATCAGGAAGTTCTAATGCTGCTTCTTCCTCAGGAATGTTTTCTGGGTTTGTATTTTGGTCCCTTGTTTCTACAACTGTAACTTGTTTCTTTGTATGTACTGTGATGATCTGTTGTCTCCGAGACATTGTGGTGTATTTGTTTAACTTGTGGTTTTACGTTGGTGTGATTCACCCCAAATTTTTTTTTTTTCCTTTATCTTGTTTTGGTAAATCTGTATGAACAGGGTACTGTGCTCCTCTATTCACTAGTTGTTAGCACTTAGGCACTCACCACCTGTCTCCTGGTGTGTGTGATAGAGAAAGAGGGTGCGTGCATAGATCTCTGTTAGCAGTTTGTAAGAAGCAGTTGAGGATAAGTTGAGCTGGTATTGGCTGCTGTTTTTCATTGGTCAATTGGTGCAAAATCATGTGGTGGCCCTCACACAGTGGGTGGGGCTGCAGGAAGGTGCAGGTATGGTTTGTGTTGGGATGGTTGCTTTCTCCCATTCAGTTAGAAAACATAAAAATAATAAAACACCAAAAAAAATAAATAAATAAAAACAAGAGAAGAAAAAACTCAAATTACATAAACAAACAGGAACAATCACACAAAAAAAGAAATGCAATAAATGAGAAGGAAATTTTTCAAAATATATTTGAAAAGCATGAAAGAAAGAATGAGAAAAAGAGAAAAAAATGCCACCATATCTGGGGAGGGAGGAATGAGATAAAAGAGCAAGAGTAAAAGAATTGTAAAGAAAAAATGGGAAAACTACAAAAAGAAAAACAAAGGATGGGAAGAATGAAAAGAAAGAAAAGGGGGGGGGGAACCAGGAAAAGGAAAGAGGAAATAAAGAGGAAAAAAGGGATGGGAAAGAGAAAGAAAAGAAAAAAGGAAGAAGATAAAAAGAATAATTTTAAAACAAACAAACAAAAACAAAAGTATGTGAGGCAGGGCATGGCACCCAGGCTCTGTCAGGTCACAGACTGAGATGGAATTCTTGCTGGTCAAGTAGGTGGCTGGAGGCAGAGGATGGCCATACCACTGTTCACCAAGAGGATGTGGGGTACAAGTGAAACAAGGGGAATATAACACTTTTGAGTGGTCAGCCTCCAGTGCAGTTGCTGTGCCCAGCAGGCAGAGCCTATTCTTAGGTCACTCTCTAGATAAGAACACCACTTGCATGTATTCAAAATGGCTGTGCCCACTCCTTGCAAATATTCAAAATTGCTGCAGCCTCAGGACAGCTGCTGGCAGTCCACAAGTCTGTTTGTTTCCTTCTTCACTGTTTTCCTTTCTGGTTGCCAGGCATCAGTGCAGTCCTTGGTGGGCAGAACTGATTCGTAGGTTGCTACCAGGAAATATTCAAAGTGGCTGTGCCCTCAGGACAGCCAGCAATCCTCCACTCTGTTTGTCTCCTTACTCACTGTTTTCATTCAAGTTCTGCTACTAGTTGTATTTAATCACCTTCTTTATCTTTCCCTTCAAAGCTCAGGGTTCCAGGATCATCTTCTGTATCAATTTCAATTGGTTTCTCATTGCTTTGTTTCAGAGGGTCTGTGTTGCTTGTCTACCATATTCCGCCATCTTGCTGGAACGAGGAACTGTGTTCCATAGGTTTTCAATGGCTGATATTTCAGAAGTAGATCTCCAGACCTTTCTTCTGAAGTGGCTCTAAGTGGACTCAACCTCAGCCTTTCAGTTACCAACCAAACCTACAACTATCTAGTTGATTCTGACTCATAGTTACCCTTTAGAACAGAGTAAAACTGCCTCATAGGATTTCCAAGATTGTAAATCTTTATAGATGCAGATTAGATAATCTTTCTCCTGCAGAGCAGCTGGTGGGTTTGAAGTGACAACCTCTTGATTGTCAGCCAAACACCTTAACCACTATGCCACCAGAACTCCTTTTCCAGTTACTAGTCCAGTGCATTAACCATCAGCACTACTCAGGAACTCCCTTACTTTTAGGAGAGGTAGAAATTTAGATGTTAAGGAGTGGTAAATGATGTAAACTAAATTGAGAGTTATTGGGAAGTCCTCTACTTCCTTAAAGTGACTTTCCTGTCACTGATACCAAAATGCCACCATTAGAGATATATATTCCTAAATTATAATCAGATTGACTACTCTCCAAGTTTGTCTAGGAGAGTCCTAGTTTATTCCTGTTATCTCAGCATCCCATCTTGTTTTAGCATTTGTCCCAGAAAAAGGGCCTCATTTAGACATAAACCATAGTTATCTTATTATATGCAAAGCCTCTGCCACTGGTAGTTGGGTTTCTTCAGCCCCTGCACCCTAATGAGATTAAGTTTATCACATGGGTAATGTGGAGCAGGTTGGGTGGGAGGAGGGAAGAAGGGGCAGCCCTAAGGACCCTGGTCAACTTTGGGATGGCAGGCCAATTGGTCAGGCCACAAGGAGAGTTGGATACATTTGGGGCTATCAGAATTTTTCCCAGACTAGTGATTTTAAGCCCTCAGTTCTACGACTCTGCCAAAATTAAGGACTATAACCTTAACTGGACTTTTTTTCACCTGATGAAATGATGATTTCAGCAAAGGAAACTAAAACCAATAAAAGAAGGTTTTATTTTTCCTTTTTATATTTTCTAGCAAATATAATTCCAGGTGTTGTATTCAGATATCACTTGCACTGCTTCTAAGTTCTAGCAAAAGAGTGATCCTTTATAGATGAGCAGTCCAAAATGCCTGGGCTGACAGAACTCACTTGATTTCAGGGGCGCTTAGAGCCAGCTCTGTGTAGTCAACCATGCAGTCAGAATCCCTCCATTATCCTTCCCCACATACATTTGGAGCCTGAGGTAACACCCAATTAGAACTCTCTTCAAGGAAACTTCAGTTGTATCATCCAATCAGAACTCTCCATGCCTTATTCAGGATTCTGAAAGGTGGTTTTTGCCATTTTTTTCTTCTTTAATGAAAACATTTGCATCATTTCTATGGTGGCTTAAAGAAATTATGGAAAAGCTACATGCTGTGTTTTCTGATTGCAATTGTATTTTTTTCATTAGGAGAAGAAAGTACAGCTGCTTGTAGTTACTTGCCTGAAGCTAATAGTCTTGGTTTGTTGATCTCAAAAGAAGGCAGAATTGGGATATGGGGATATCAAAGAGCCCTTGGCCCAGTAAAGGATTTTCCAAGAGTTTTCTTTAATACTGTTCCTACAGTTGCTCTGATATCCCATTACCTTTTGTTCCAGTTACCCTAATGAGCCCAGGAACATTTTCCTCCCAGCTTAAGGTCAGAATCTCTTTTTGGGGGATGACTTTAATGATTTTCTTTTCTCATTTAGACAGAAAATGACTTTTCTCTTGCTTACTTGGATGGAGTCTTGCTCTTTGGACATATGTTGAAGATGTTTCTTGAAAATGGAGAAAGCATGGTTACCTCCAAATTTGCTCATGCTTTTAGGAACCTCACATTTGAAGGTACTGGTCACCTAAAAACAAACAACAATAACAATAAATTAATTAATCCTTTCTAGACAAAAGCTTTACTCACTGCTGTTGAGTCGATTCAACTCATAGTGATCCCTTCTTGGGTTTCTGAGGTGGTATCTCTATGAAAGTAGATTGCCTTATCTTCCTTTTGAGAAGTGGCTAGTGGGTTTGAACCACAGCCTTCTGGTTAGCAGTTAAATGCTTTAGGCACTACACCACCACAGCTCCCTCCTTTCAAGAGAAATCTGAAGAAAAGCTAGACTTTGAGAAGCAGAGAGGGAGTTTTGCAATAGATGAGTCAACAATTACATACTTTGAACTTAATTGAGGTAATTATTATGACATAAACTTTGGGTGCTATTATTGATAACTCAATCCCAATTTATGCTGCAGACTTTCAGAATCTTCAAATATCATAGAAAGAACACATAGCTTGAGTCCCATATTTATCAACAAGGCTTATAACAGGGCATTGAAAACAACAAAACAGTTGCCATCAAGTTGATTCGTACTCACGATAACCTCATGTGTGTCCAAGTAGAATTGCGCTCCATAGGATTTTTTGGCTAATTTTTCAGAAGTAAATTGCCAGACCATTCTTCTAAGGTGCCTCTGGGTGGACTTGAACCTCCAATCTTTTGTTTGGTTAGCAGCCAAGCATATTAACCATTTATACCACCAGAAACTCTCAAAGGACATTATGACTTATGATATCCTGGCTTTGATAGAATGAAACTAGAAAGAAGAAAAGTAATTGAAGTTTGATTTTTGTCCCTTCATGGATCTCTTTCTATTCCACAGGCATCTAAGACCCTGCCATATCCTCTAACTACCAAAATCCTCATACCAGCACCATTCAGGAGTTCCCAACATATACCCCATTGATCTGCATGAATCATCAGCTTCTACCAAAACTCGCATCATTCTTTTCCCCCATCTTATCTGTGTTAGTGTTATGTGATGTCAAGTCAGACGCAACTTATAGTGACCCCTCCTTGGGTTTCTGAGGAGGTATCACTACGGAACTGGATTACCCAACCTTCCTTCCAATCCATCCTACCCCAGCCATTGGTGTGGCCCCTCAGGCCATGGTGCTGTGTGTAGGCTGCCACTGCAGCCAAGAGAAAAAGGCTCACTCTGCAGTTAGTCTATAGGATGAATGTTTCCCAGAGTAAGTATTTAAGGTAGATTAGAGAAGACAACTTCAAGTGCTAGAAAAGGACATAATACGTGGTAAGGTAGAGGGTCAGCAAAAATGAGGAAGTCCTCAATGAGACAGAATGACACAACAGCCACAACAATGTACTCAAACAAACCAATGATCATGAAGATGGCACAGGACTAGGCAACTTTTCATTCTGTTTTACGTAAGGTTGCCATGAGTCGTAGCCAATGCAATGGCAACTAACAACTATCATCTGACTTTTACTCAGTACACGTTAAATTTAGAGGGAAATTTCTTCATAATATCTAGATAAGAGGTAGGAGCTCTGGTAGCGTAGTGCCTAAGGCACTTGACTGCTAACCAGAAGGCTGGCTGTTCAAACCCACCAGCCACTCCTCAGAAGGAAGGTGGGGCAATCTACTTCTGTAGTGATACTGCCTCAGAAACCCAAGGAGGGGTCGCTATGAGTCGGGTCCAATTCAACTGCACATAACAACAAAAACAAACAATTTAAGTTAGATTATGTAGTGACCTAAACATTTGTTCTACTAGTTCAGTAAATATTCTTAGCAGAAACTTATCACTAATTATCAGGAAGAATTTATTGACTGATTGCATTTGGTATCATTCTAAATGCAATAAAAAGATATTTCCTTCTAAATAAATTATACAAACAATAAAAATGTCCTTCAGAGACCTTGGGGCCAAGAATCAATCCAATTGCCCTCTGATTAGACCATGAAGGTCAACAATTCTTCAGTAAAATAGAGCACTTTGAACTGGTTTTAACTTGTCTTTCTGGGTCCAACCAGTCTCTTCAGGCAAGAAGGCAATGATGGCCACTAACTCTCTCTGATTTTGCTCTAGGATACTTGGGTCCTGTGACTTTGGATGACAGTGGTGATATTGACAATACTATGGTGCTTCTGTATACCTCTGTGGATACCAACAAAGTATGTCTGACTCCAAATTGTGGCTCCTTATCAGGAAACTTGGGATGATGTGACTATATTAAGACTGGGTAAAGAGATTACTTGGAATAGGAGCAATATTGAAGGAATTGGAGGGGATATATTTAGGATCTGGAAGATAGTTTATTTTAGCTTTAAATTTATGCCACATATGGGGAAGTCTTTCTTAAGCTTTTTTGATTCATGGAACTTCTTATTCAGAATATCCACTGTTTACTGTATACATGTATTTAAACTCCAAACCAAACTTATGCCATCAAGTTGATTCCAACTCACAGCAACCCTCATTGAGTTTCCAAACCTGTAAATCTTTACAGAAGAAAACCGTCTTGCCTTTCTTCTCTGGAGCAGCTGCTGGGTTCAAACTATTGAGCTTTTGGTCAGCAGCCAAACGCCTTAACCACTATGCCACGAGAGCTCGTTATATATTTAAACCACCCAGAATAAATTTATATAAAGGCCAGACTATCATGGGATGGATACCAATGAGAGGATGATAGTCTTTAATAATAATTGCTTATTTGTTTCCATAACTAAATATTTCAGTGAAACATTCCCACTTCTCTCCAGCTAAACTCCCATGAAAATAATTAATTTCATAATCCCTCTGGTGCATATAAGCATTTCTATAATGTTATGCTTTTATTCACAAAATTTTTTTCTCCTTAATGACAGAGTTTTTGTTGTTATGTGCCGTTGAGTCAGGTAGGTCCCTTAAAAAAAGAGAGTGGGTCTTACCTCTCCATTTCTCCAGTGCCTAGCTTCTTACCTGGCACATGATTGATCACTAATAAGCCTTTAATTTAGAAAAAAAAATCTGTCTTTATATCACACAAAGTTGTGCCCATCAAAGGCTATGAAAACCACTATTGTAGCCAACCAAGTAGTCAATAGAGAACATTTTTGTAAGAGGTTGAGTCTTGACACCAACTAGTAATTAAAAGAAAAAGTTATTCATTTTTCTGTAATTTGTTAGTGTGAACATTAAGACATCCTTTAGTCATAATATACTGGGTGTATTATGTTGACCTGCTTTGTGAAAGATATCTATAGAAGAAAATACTGAACGTTAGAGAAACATGCCCAGATTGAGAAAGTTAAACCAGAAATTCAGGAGCAGTATTTAAGAGGGAAATCAATGGTGTATAATTACTGTATTGAACCGAAGGAGGACTGGTTGTGCAGTGGGTAAAGCAGTTGGCTGCTCACAAAAAAGTCAGTGGTTTGACCCCTCCCAGTGGTTCCATGGGAGAAAGTTGTGACAGTTTGCTTCCCTAAAGATGTAAAGCCTTGGAAACCCTATGGGACAGTACTACTCTGTCCTATAGAGTTGCTATGAGTTTGAATTGACTTGCCAGTGATTTTTAATTTTTATTTTTTAATATTGAACTTTTAATAAAATGTTACTTTTTGGCATACATTCCATTGGAATGCCTTAAAATCCCCTCAAGTCTTCACTTACAAATGGTAACTACAAAGATAATTACACTCCCCTCTGTATTATTTGTACTTAGGACAATGCCCTTGTCTTCCCTAGAGAGAAGCATGGTGGCATCTCACATATGGTGAGATCCTAGGCCAACTTTGAAACTTTTTTCACAATGAAAAACATTGTATTGTGCACTAACTCTCTCTGAAGGCAGACCTAGTTGAAATTTTCTCCCATCTAGTACATCTAAGCAATTGTGCTATTTAATACGTATACTTTGGGAAAATATAGATTAATTCCCTAAACAGGGGTATAGATGAAGTTTTCCATATTTGGGTAAGTTTCAATGGAGATTCAATGTGCATATTCTATATACAGGATCTTTCCTATCCTCAAATATATATGCAGTTATAAATTCTGCTCTCAAGTGAAGAGTAAAGCTTTGAAAACGTGGAAACTTTGCTCAGAAATGGTGATAGTTATTTTACCCTTGCAAAAGGGACATGGGGGTGGCATCTTCTGACCTCCTTTAGCCTCATGAGAGGGAAACAGAGTCACCATCAACAGCCCAAGGCTTATTCCTATGAGGCCAGCTATGCCACCACCCTCCAGCCTTTTAACCAATTCTGACACCAACTATCCCTCCCATGGCACTCACTACTTCTCTGCTGGTTTTAATAATTCGTTGCAGTGGCCACACAGAACTCACAGACAATACTGAAGGTTATAGGGTTTATTAGGTAAATAACAGGTTCCAATTCACATTCAGGAACACTCGCAGGATATAATTCTTTGATCAGGACAGTCTCCCCTCTCCAATGCCCTCAGATATGCCTCTCTGACCTTTGGCCTCTTGGCCTAGCCTCTGTCCTGCTCTGTTGGGCAAGTGTTACATAACTCATTTAGCTCCTGCCCACAGGCGCTCACCTGTCTCACTCAGTGGGCCGGCAAGCCTGCACTCTGCCTCATGCCTCATGGTTCCTCTGCCAGTCATCTCTGCCAGCTTTCAGCCAAGGAGGGCCAGTGTAGGAATATCAGGTCCAAGGTCATACTCACTCCACCCTCAGCTCTTCTCTTGATGGCAGTGAGATCCTTTCCTCTGCCTCTGTTGTTGTTGTTGTTATGTGCCGTCGAGTTGGCCCCGACTCATAGCGACCCCTCCTTGGGTTTCCAAGGCAGTATCACTAAGGAAGTAGGATTGCCCAACCTTCCTTCCGAGGATTCCTCTGCCTCTAGAAGTGCTCATTTAAAGCCTAGCAGAATGACAAAACTAACCATAAGGGCCCCATATACCTTATTTGCATGGTCCCACCAGTAATCTGGTGGCAGTCACAAAGTGGCTAGAAAAGCCATACCAAGTAATTCACTGCACCACAACCACCTTTGCATTTGAGGGAATGAGAGTGAATTTAAAAGGATGGTCGATTTTCAGATGTCTCTTACAAAGCTGGTTCAGCATATGCAGCTTACACTAAATAATATATTATTCACGTTTGCAAATTACTTTTAAAAATGTTTTTGTCTTTGAAACCTTGTTATATCTTGTGCAGAAAAGTACATCAGAACGAGATGGAAGAAATCAGAAAATTGTATTATTGATAGAACTTAATGTAGAATTATTTCCAGGCCTCTTCACATCTACATGTATCAACATGATCCAGTGGATTTTACTTGCGGTGCATTATCTCTAGAGATCATTTTCAGTGCTAATTGAGTATTGCAGAAAACACTGGCCTTTCACTTGTCAGTTAATCATTTAATTTCTCTTGGCCTCTTTAACATTTGCACATTAAAGGCTTGAACTAGTTCTCCAAAGACCCAAAGAATCTATGTAGGGCAGGGGTTAATAGTATAGTCTACAGTCAAAAAGAAACATAAAGCTTATTGGCCCACTTGGGGCTTGAATCCATGTTCACACTAAAACAGATTCTAACTAGCCCCAGGAGGGTTGTTTCACTGAGAAGCATTACTATGAAATTCAAGTGTCGTTGGGCAAGATAGTCAATCTCACCAGAAGTTGTTCTAAAATATTTTTTTTTATTTTTTTTTTTTAATATCCTGGCACAGTACAAGGTTCTTTTGACTTATGACACTCATACAAATAGTACTGAACCAGTGGATATAAGACCAACATTCATCTGGAAGAACCATAAACTTCCAAATGATATTCCAGGCCTAGGTAAGATAACCTTAGTGAATTTCTTTCCTTGATTGAAATTGGTTTTTTGATAAAAAGTGTAAATGTTATGGATATACAATTACCCTGTGATTGTTTCTTTTGTTTCCTGTCAGAAGTAGATCTGCCAGGTTTGTAAATGTGAACTCAACTTCTCTGCACAAAAAATGGTATTACAGTTCTGATTAAACACTAAAATATCCCTCTCCTAATTTACCTATACTTATCTTAGAATGTGGTCTACCCTCTAATCTACTTCCTTAAAGATTTACTGCCTCAGAAACCCAAAGGAGGTTCACTATAAGTCAGAATCAACTTGATGGCAGTGAGTTTGGTTTTTTGGTTTTATCTTAAAATATGTCCTACTTGCTAACACAATTTATCCCATAGAAAACAAGTTTCAATAACTGACAAAAATGAGCTAAGAGACAAATATTTATGAATAAGCCTCATAAGAGCTTCATAAGAAAAGCATGTATTCTGCTTACTACATTTTACTACAATAAGCTGAAAGAATTCTCTTTTTTTTAAATTTCAATTTCTCAAAATTAGGCCATTATTTCACTTGCTTCATTTTTGAACCTTGCCTTCCTTAAGCCAGAATTCCTAGTTGTATCTCTGTTATTTTTATTTATTTACTTATTTTCCTTTTGCTAGAAGAAGATATGTCTTCACCATATTATTATCCTCCCAGCTTCTTATTCATTCTGTCTATTGCTTGGAATCTATTTCACTTTTTCTTCTTAAATCCATTAAATCCCTATTCTAATAGGGACCAGTTGTGTCATGATCCAGGACTTTCTTGTACAGTTTTATTATTGTTGTTGTTTTTCTCAAGCTAGGTTTGTTCCTCTCCTGGCTGTTGCCCAGGGTCATACTCAGACTCTTTAATCCTTCCTGGTCCACTTTTTCCTGGATTCCACTTACTCCTCTGGAGGCATTTCAGATTACTCCATCTGCACAACTCCACATACATACTTGTTGTTGTTATGTGCCGTCGAGTCGGACCCAACTCATAGTGACCCTTCCTTGGGTTTCTGAGGCAATGTCACTACAAAAGTAGATTGCCCAGCCTTCCTTCCAAGGAGTGGCTGGTGGATTTGAACCGCCAGCCTTCTGGTTAGTAGTCAAGTGCCTTAGGCATTATGCTACCAGTGAAATCACTTACTTTCTTCATTGATTGTGCCTCCATGACCCAGTAGAGCTCAGGAAGGGCCAGAATGCAATATTATCATTTAATAATCTAAATCATCTTAGTTTTCCTCTATTTGTGATCTATATTTAAAAGTAGTTATTTCTTTTTCTATGGATCCTTCCTAGGAGCTCTGGTAGCATAGTGGCTAAGGCACTTGACTGCTAACCAGAAGGCTGGCGGTTCAAACCCACCAGCCACTCCTCGGAAGGAAGATGGGGCAATCTACTTCCATAGTGATACTGCCTCAGAAACCCAAGGAGGGGTCTCTATGAGTCGGGTCTGACTCGACGGCACATAACATAACAACATGGATCCTCCCTAGGTATATTGGCTTTAAGGACACCAGGTAGGCTTCATCCATCAAAAGTATTTATGTGTTGGAAAATATTTTATAATCTTGTAACATTTGGTGATTCCTATAAGGAAGAAAAGACATATGAACTACAAGGGTCGTTGAAATTAACCCACATCCTCTGGGCACATTCCAAGCAATTTTCTTCAGAGTGAGGACATAGGATCTTTATTATCAATGAAGAGGATAACAAGAGATAAAATTTTAAAAGGCTCTGCCTTTAAAATGATGACCAGTTGTTGTCGAGTCAGCTCTGATTAGTGGTGATCTTTTATGTATCAGAGTAGAACTGTATTGCCGTGGGGTTTTCAGTGGCTGATTTTTGGAAGTAGATCTGTAGGCCTTTCTTCTGAGGTGCCTCTGGTTAGACTTGAACTTCTAACCTTTTGGTTAGCAGCTGGGTATGTTAACCATTTGCATCATCCAGGAACTCCATTATACAACTGGAATCTTGAAATGTTTTTATTCTTGTTTTAAAGATCATTCCTGATGCCTTTCTCACTGTGTTTTCTTCCACAGGTCCTCATATCCTAATGATTGCAGTCTTCGCGCTTACTGGAACTGTGATTCTGCTCCTGCTCATTGCTCTCCTGGTGCTGAGGTACCTTTCCCTCTATCCTTGCTGTGCTCTTCCTTCAGAGAGGGATAAAAGGAGAGAGACAGGGAAGTTGAAAGGGAGAGAAAGAAACAATGTCTTTTGATGATAATGAAGGTTTACAAAGAAGTCTCTAGATAGATCTAAGATCATTAAGACATTCTGTTTCCAAGACTGTATATATCAAGGGAAAAATAAAAATATTACTGAGTGGCTAGATCAACACTTTGGAGATAGAGACACCTGAACTCAAATTGCATGTCTGTGATGTACCAGCTGTGTAGTCTTAAGCATGTTGTTTAGCAACTTGAACATGTTACTTAGATTCAGTGTCCTCATTTGCACTATTGTGAAGCTTTAAAATAGAAAATGTATAGTGACTACCACATATTAAACTCTCACTGCCATCGAGTCAGATCAGACTCATAGCAACCCCCTCCCTGGGTTTCTGAGGTGGTATCACTATGGAAGTAGATAGCCTAATCTTCCTTCCAAGGAATGACTGATGGGTTTGAACCATCAGCTTTCTGGTTACCCATTAAATGCCTTAGGCACTATGCCACCAGAGCTCCCAACCACATATTAGACATGCTTTAAGTGAAAATAGCTATTTTTACCATTTTATTAATGTATTGCAGGAAATTTTGAAGTCACTTTGGGTTTATTCTGTTTTTTTAAATTTTTTTTTTTGGTAGTATGCGGTGTTCAAGCTGGAAAGTGCATTAACAATCATGTCCTCTAAACCTCCTATTTTAGCAGGGAGAAAGTGAGACCCAGGAAAGTAAAATGGCTTATCTAGAAAAACATTGTTAGGTAGTAGGGTAGGACCTGAAGTAGAACTCAGAACTCCTTGATTGTTCTACTCTACTTGGGCACAACAAGTACCTAGCACGGTGCTGGGGATGTAGTGGAGGCTCAAAAGAAGTATTTGTTGAATACATAAATGAATAAGTACCACATTACCTCCTAATCTGTATATGTTAAATATACAAAATTTTCTAGCCCCATGGGATTATCAAGATCATTCCCATACCCTACATAAATGAGGGAATAATTTTCTCTGTGGACTACAACTCTTGGGTCTGTCACTATACTTTCTCATAATGAGAAAGTCCAACCTGTGGCATGTGGTTTGAAGTTTTCACCAGGGTATAGAGAAGACCCTTTTCTTTAATATGAAGGCTGAGCTTGGGTCTTGTAACTCTATGTTGATGTGCAATATAGGAGATGGTACATAGGATGTGGCAACCATTTAGTTGAGGGTAAGCAGAAACCAAAATTTGGGAAGAGTAGTGCCAGTCATTACTAGTACTTGTCATTACTGGAACTGGTAGGGATGGCCGGGAGATGGTGGCAGACAGCTTTTTGGAGGGCCAAAACTGTTAAGGATGGCCGGGAGGCAGCGGCAGATGGCTTTTGGAGGGCTAGAACTGGTAGGAAGGCTGGGAAATGGGAGTGGAGCAGTTTGGAATAGCTAAGGAGAACAAACTCATCTGTCAGTTTGTCATCCTGTGGTGGCTTGTGTGTTGCTGTGAGGCTGGAGGCTGTGCCACCAGTGTTTCAAGTGCCAACAGGGTTAGCCATGGTGGAGAGGTTTCAGCGGAGCTTCCAGCCTAAGACAGACTTGGAAGAAGGAAGAGGCCATGCACTTCTCAAAGAATTGGCCAGTGAAAACCTTATGAATAGTGGTGAAACACTGTCTGATATATTACTGAAAAATAGCCATGAAACATTGTCTGACATTATGCCAGAGGATGAGCCCCTCAGGTCAGAAGGCAAAATATGACCAGGAAAGAGCTGCCTCCTCAGAATAGAGCTGACCTTAATGATGTGGATGCAGTAAAGCTTTCAGAACTTCCTTTTGCTGATGTGGCAACTCAAGAAGAAACAGCTGCAAATATCCATTAATAATCGGAACATAGAGTGTACAAAGTATGAATCTAGGAAAACTGGAAGTTGTCAAAAATGAAATGGAACACATAAAGGTCAATATCCTAGGCATTAGTGAGCTGAAATTGACTGGTTTTGGCCATTTTGAATCAGACAACCATATAATATACTATTCCAGGAATGACAAATTAAAGAGGAATGGCATGTCACTCATCATCAAAAAGAATATTCCAAGATCTGTTCTGAAGTATAATGCTGTCAGTGACAGGATAATATCCACACGCTTACAAGGAAGACCAGTTAATATTACTATTATTCAAATTTACACACCAACCACCAAAACAAAACATGAGGAAATTGAAGACTTTTGCCAATTTCTTCAGTCTGAAATTGACCGAACATTCAATCAAAATGTGTCAATCATCACTGGTGATTGGAATGCAAAAGTTGGAAACAAAGAAGAATCACTGGAAGCTGGAAAATACAGTCTTGGTGTTAGAAATGACGCTGGAGATCACATGATAAAATTTTCCACGACCAACGACTTATTCATTGCAAATACCTTTTTTCAACAACACTCATGACAGCTATACACATGGACTTCACCAGATGAGTACACAAGAATCAAATTGACTGCAAATGTGGCAAGAGGCAATGGAGAAGCTCAATATCTTCAGCCAAAACAAGGCCAGGAACTGATTGTGGAACAGATCGTCAACTGTTCATATGCAAGTTCAAGTTGAAACTGAAGACAATTTTAAAAACTCCACAAGAGCCAAATATGACCTTAATTATATCCCTCCTGAATTCAGAGACCATCTAAAGAATAGATTTAATACACTGAACACCAATGACCAAAAACCATAAGAATTGTGGGATGACATCAAGAACATCATCTATGAAGAAAGCAAAAGGTCATTAAAAAGACAGTGTGATAGTTGGAGTTGTGTGTCAACTTGGCTGGACCCCAGTTCTGTGTGGTTGTTCCCATGATGGTATCGGATGACTGTGTTCTGAGTGGCCAATCTGTTCAAGGGGAGTTTCCCTAGGATGTGGCCTGCTTCCAGGATATCCAAGGAAGAGAGACATTCTTCTGTGGATCAGGATTCTGTTGTGCTGCCTACAACTGTCTGTGAGTGAGCAGTCCACCGTTCGACCTGGAGAGCTTGGATTTGTCATTCATTGGAGTCAACAGCCAGTGTACTGCCTGGCAGCCTTGAGCTTCTCGGCCCCTGTGGTTGCGGGAGCTAGGAAAAACCTCCAGCCTGATGTTTGCTCCAGGGACTTTGGACTTGACTGCTTCTATACGTTTGTGAGCCATTTTCCTAAGATAAATTTCTCTCTCTAAATATATATATATAATTGCAGTGTAGTAAATTACTTAGTGAGTGTGGCTTTTCTACCCATAAGTCTTTGTAAACTCCAAGGTGGGATTTTCTATGAGCAACTGAGGAGCTCCTGATTGCTGAAGTTGTCCACCTGGAGTATTTCTGTTGGAGTGGCACAAAACAATGTTCTGGGAGGTGCCCACTCACTCAGGTGCTTAGAGTTCTGATGCTGTGATTGGCTAGTTTGGCCACTCTGCTGGGCTCAAAAGGAGGCCTCCTGGAGGCAGAACTCTCTCTGACTGCTGGTTGAGGACGACATGCTGCTGAAAGAGACACACGCTGCTGGGAAAGAGATGCAAGAGACATGCATTGCTGAGTGAGACACTGAGGGACTAGCACTGCTGGGAAAGAGACTGTGAGAGACTGTTGGCCGAGGGATGGTGGGCTGGGAGAGAGACTGAGCGTTTTTCCTGAACTTGAATTGTAGTCTGGTGCTTCCCTAATAAACCCCATAATCTGTGAGCTCTGTGTGGCCACTGCAGCGAATTATCGAACCCAGGATAGAGGTGGTGAGTGCTTTGGGAGGAATGGTTGGTGAAAGGGCTGGAGGGAGGCAGCATGTCTGGCCTTGCAGTAATAGGCCTTGGGTTACTGCTGGTAATCCTGTCTTCTCTCATGGGATTACAGGACGTCAGAACATGTGGCCTCCTTGTCCTTTTAGCAATAATCTTTGCTGGGTTTTGTTTCTCTAGAGAACTCAGTCTAATACAGACAGGAAAGGAAGAAAAGACCAAAGTGGATGTCAGAGGAGACTCTGAAACTTGCCCTAGAATGGGGAGTAGCTAAAGCAAATGGGAGAATCGACAGGATAAAAGACCTGAATAGAAGATTTCAAAGAGCAGCCCGAGAAGACAAAGTCAATTATTATGATGAAATGTGTCAAGAGTTGGAGTTAGAAAACCAGAAGGGAAAGAACATGCTCATGATTCCTCAAGCTGAAAAAACTGAGGAAAAAATTAAAGCCTCGAATTGTAATACTGAAAGATTCCATGGGCAGTATGTTGAATGATGCAGGAAACATCAAAAGAAGATGGATGGGAGTGCACAGAGTCACCATACCAAAAAGAACTAGTAGATGATCATCCATTTCAGAAGGTGGCATATGATCAAGAACCAACGGTATTAAAGGAAGAAGTCAAAGCTACACTGAAGGAATTGGTGAAAAACAAGGCTCTGGGAACTGATGGAATACCCATTGAAATGTTTCAACAAACGGATGCCTCACTGGAGGGGTACTCACTCGGCTATACCAAGAGATTTGGAAGACAGCTACCTGGCCAACTGAGTGGAAGAGATCCATATTTGTACCCATTCCAAAGAAAGGGGATCCCACAGAATGTGGAAATTATCAAACAATATCATTGATATCACATGCAAGAAAAATCTGACTGAAGATAATTAAAAAATGGTTGCAGCAGTATATTGACAGAGAACTTCCAGAAAGGCAAGCTGGATTCAGAAGGGGATGTGGAGCGAGGGATATCATAGCTGATGTCAGATGGATCTTGGCTCAAAGCAAAGAATACCAGAAAAATGTTTACTTGTGTTTAATTGACTATGCAAAGGCATTTGATTGTGTGGATCATAACAAAATATGGATAACTTTGAGAAGAATAAGAATTCCAGAACACTTAATTGTACTTATAAGGAACCTGTACATAGATCAGGAGGCTGTTGTTCAAATACAGCAAGGGGATACTGCATGGTTTAAAATCAGGAAGGGAGTACATCAGGGTTGTATCCTTTCACCATACTTATTCAACTTGTATGTTGAGCAAATAATCTGAGAAGCTGGACTATATGAAGAAGAACATGACATCAGGATTGGAGGAAGACTTATTAACAATCCTGCGATATGCAGACAACACAACTTTGCTTGTTGAAAGTGAGGATGACGTAGAGCACTTATTGATGAAAATTAAAGACTACAGTCTACAGTATGGATTACACCTCAACATAAAGAAAACAAAAATCTTCACAACTGGACCAATAATCAGCATCACGCTAGATGGAGAAAAGATTGAAGTTGTCAAAGATTTCCTATTATTTGGTTCTACAATCAGTGCCAATGTAAGCAGCAGTAAAGACATCGAAAGATGCATTGCATTTGGCAAAACTGCTTCAAAAGACCTCTTTCAAGTGCTGAAGAGCAAAAATATCTCCCCGAAGATTAGGATGTGTCTAACCCAAGCCATGGTGTTTTCAGTCACCTCATATGCATGTGAGAGCTGGACAATGAATAAGGAAGATCAAAGAAGAGTTGATGCTTTTGAGTTGGGATGTTTGCAAAGAATGCTGAAAGTACCATGGACTGCTAAAAGGACTTACAAATCTGTCCTGGAAGTAGTGCAGCCGGAATGCTTCTTGGAAGTGAGAATGGCCAGACTTTGTCTGACCTACTTTGGTCACGTCAGAAGGGACTATTCTCTGGAGAAGGATGTCATGCTTGGTAAGATAGAGGGTCAATGAAAGAGGGGAAGACCCTCAATAAGATGGATAGACATGGTGGCTGCAACGATGGGGTCAGGTATAGTAGGGATAGTGAGGCTGGCACAGGACCAGGCAGTGTTTCATTCTGTTGTACATAGCTATGAGTTGGAGATGACTCAACGGCACATAACAACAATGCCAGTCAATAGCAAGGTCACAAGTATTGCTGTTGTCCCTCAGAAACTAAATCTAAGTGGAGGTCAACTTAAAGTGGGGGTAGATCACAAATTAAGAGACAGTAGCAGGGTAGAAACAATTCTTTTCAATTAGTTCCAAGCATCAGAGGGTGAGAAGTGAGAGCCTGGAAGCTTCAAGGCCTTGATGTTTACCCTCATTTCCTACAGATTTTAAGATCATGGTCCATGATGTCTGTGTTAGGCTGGGTTCTCTAGAGAAGCAAAATCAGTAAAGCTTACATATACAAATAGAGAAAGAGAAATTTATCTTAGGAAAATGCCTCACACACTAGAAGCTGGCAAGTCCCTAGTTTTTGGATCAAACATCAAGCTGGAGGCTTTTCATGACTCATGCAGCTGCAGGGGCTGAGGAGCTCAAGGTTGGCAGGCAGTATACTGGCTGTTGACTCCAGCGAATGACAAATCCAAGATCTCCAGGCTGAATGGTGGATTTGTTTGCTCACTGACAGTTGTAGGCAGCACAACAGGATCCCAATCCACAGAGGAGTGTCTCTTTTCCCAGAATGTCCATAAATACATTGGAAGCAGGCCACACCCCTAGGGAAACTCCCTTTCAATGGATTGGCTGCTCAAAGCATATACATCTGATCCCATCATGGGAATAACCCACATTACAACTGCTTGAACCACATAGAATTGTGGTCCAGCCAAGTCAACACACAGCTCCAACTATCACAATATCCTAATTCATATGTATTTAATAGAAGAATACTCGTTGGATAGAAGTACAAGAAGAAAGTGATCATCTCTGCTTAGGAGACATTAAGAAAGTCATCATGAGAGACCTCGAGAAGTTGAGCAACAGTTTGCCAAATGACAAAAACCAAAGGCTTATTCAGGGATAGATAAATAGATCAATGGAAAAGGATATAGATTCTAGAATCAGACAAACAAGCATGAAAACTTGGAATATGATAGAAGTGACATTACAAGCCAGTTGAGAAATGATGTTGGTACACAAAGTTTTCCACATGGAAAAAATGAAATAAAGATGTTAACTGACCCCATACAGAAAAGTACATTCCGTTTCCACATGAAATTTCAAATGGATTAAAGAACTAAAGGTAAAAATCAAACTTCAAAACTCTTAGAAGAAATTAAAGGATAATATCTTTATGATCTCAGGGTAGGAAAGTACTTCTCAAGTAAGATAAAAAGAAAAGTCACAGGAAAAAAAGTATATGAATATGGCCCCAATAAAATTAAAACTTTATGTACAACAAAGTCCAAAGACATCAACCAGAAGGAGGTATTTTTAACACATAAAAGGATGAACTATTTGTTTTGCAGAATGTATAAAGAACTCAGGTAATTCAATAAGGAAAAGATAAATAATATAAGGTGAAGACAGGCAAGATTATGACCAATTTCATACAAGGAATAAAATAGTTAGAAAACATTTGAAAAGATGCTCAGTCTCTCTACTTATCAGGACAATGATGAACAAAGAAACAAAACATACCAAGTGTTTTCAAGGATATAGGGAAACAGGAAGTGGCTCAATGGGAGGGAGGATTGGTACAACCACTTTGGGAAGCAACATTTGTAAAGTTGAAAATGCATCCTAATAACCCAAAATTCTGCTATATCATGCTACTTGAAGAAAAAAAAATAGTATTTTATATTTTGTGATATATGTTGTTAAGTTTTCTCTGAACTTTTCTGCTTTCTTTATACATATGTATTTTTTAAGGCAAAGATTCATAAGAGGAACTGGCTTATTTAAAATTTTGGTATATTCTCTAATACTTTGAAAATGAATTGTTTTGCCTCTCAAGGTTATCGATTTTAAACATGTTATCTCCTCTGCTTTTTCCACACTTTTTCTGTGTTATCAATTCGTATCCTTTATGACAGTGAAGTTCCAGGGAAAGTGAAGGGAAAAGAAAAGAGTCTAAAACTCCAACAGAAATCCTGACAGGTCACTAATGCCAGCACTCACCAGTTTGGAGAGCATGGACTTATGCCATTTGACTAGCCTCCTTCACCACACATCTACCCAAAAATATCAGGGTTCTGAATTTCTCTTAGTGTTCAGAAGCTGGTGGTATGTATACTAATGAAAGCCTATTGACTAGCTCTATTCCTTTCACAGAAAATACAAAAGAGATAATGAACTTCGTCAGAAAAAATGGTTCCACATTCCTCCTGAAAAAATCCTTCCTCTGGAGACCAATGAGACCAATCATATTAGCCTGAAGGTAAGGCTTACCTTACTTGTTGAAGAATGCTGGAACTGGTACAATTTGCCAGGTATATGACAAGGCCTTAGTAGTAGGTAAAGGAAATGTATTAAGCAGGGAGAGTTTGTTTTAGAATCCAAGACTTAGATTTCTAATTCTCAGTATCACGCTTTTCCCTTGATTCTCCATGGCCTAAATGTCACCTGGTTAATAAACACTTCCATAGAGGCTGAGATAGGGTGTGTTCTGCCACTTTCTTCTTGTGTAACATTTAATGTCATGTAACATCTCTGTGCCTTGTTTGTAAAATGAGAAGGAGGAGGGGAGATAACTGACATTTATTAATATGTATTATGTCAAGAGTGCTTGAAACAATGTATTTCATATAAATTTCAAAATAGTTCTGTAAGGTAAATATTAACAAAGGTAATAATATACATTCCAGGCTTTTTATTAGAATCAAATTGAAAGATGCAAACATTCTTAACCTTTTCTCTGCTTTTAGAAGTCATTAACTGGCAAGCCATAAGTTGGATCTAGTCTATAGATATGTGTATGTGTTTCTTATTCAATATTTAACATTTTTAAATTAATTGCCAAGATATAAAAATAATGGAATAGCATGTAAAAATCTAGATGACAGCCTCTTTTGATAAATCAGATGATCCGAGCACCACAAGGCAGCCATCACCCAGGGCTAATGGGGCTGCTCCCTTAGACACCTGGCCTAGTTTCTTTATTTGCATTGTTGCTTAGGTCTTTAGGTATGGGTTTCCAATGAATGTGCAAACCCTGCTCTATATAACTCAAATGCTCAAGATGCTCCCCTAAGAGCAGCTGTCTGTAGCTACAGGCAGTGTTCCCCAGTGGAAGGAGGGCAGGGGAAGAAAGAAGCAAAGAAAATACCCAGCTAAAATAGAGCTACAAGAGGAGGGGAGGAAAGGGAAGTAACTTCACAGTCTCCCCACAAACACAGAGCTTAACATGAGAGTGATAGGCAGCCAGGAAGAAGATATTGTTAGAGTGCAAAGGTGAATAGTGAGAAGGAAACACAAGATGATTATAGCAGTTTTTCTAGGAGCTTATCCACCATGCTATTGAGCAAACAACAAGTACAGCCCTCTTGGCAGAACCTCTCGGCCTTTGACTGACAGAGTATGGAACAAGATATGGAGTTCCTAGACTAACTGGCCTTCTCTTGTGCCAGATCGATGATGACAAGAGACGTGATACAATGCAGAGACTACGACAGTGCAAATACGACAAAAAGGTGACTAGTCTTATCTGCTTCTCAAACTCTCAGTCAGGGGTGTGTTCTGGTCTTCCTGCTCATCATTACCACAACTCCTACTATTGGCAGTGAAATCATGGGGGTGTCCAGGTCGTTCCAAGGGGCTGTCCTTGCAGCCATTCTCAGGGATCCACTGGGCTCTGCTTCCAGGGTTATAAAACTGATTGATAATCCTGGTGAAATTGAAAGACAAACAGAATTTGAGGAAAAGGTGGAGTACAGGAAATTAAGGTAATATGAAAGAGTGCAGTCCAGGCAACACCAGAATTCTATCTTGGCTCATTGCTGTGTGAATACAACAATCCTCATATGCAGGTTTTGTATCTTTTCTTTCCTTCCTTCCTTCCTCATTACTTTTGATTTAGTCATTCTTGAAGAAATATTCAAACCTGAACCTACCATATCCCAAGAACTAGAGGCCAGGGATATAAATATCAATAAAATACTGTCACTGCTTTTAAGATTCAGAGTGTAGTGGGAAGGTAGATACACAAACAAGTCATTATAGGACATATACATGTAGTCTCTGATTTATAATATATTTGAGTTATTATGAGCCACACTTAAACAGTCTTTTCTTTTTTTTTTTCCTTTGGTACTTATTATCATTAGGGATATGCACTACATATAATGTTGCAGTGAGTAATTTGCTAATGTTACCATTCTCAGCTGTTCACTCTCAGGCATTCAATTTTATGATTTACTGTTCAAAACACTACTGTATAGCAAGCTATGGCTGGGTCTACAGCGAAGTTGGTGTCAATGTCAGGTATTGTGAGGGATAGAAATTTGGGCAATTTTCGACTCTACTGATATATGACAATTGAACCGCACAGGTGCCTAATACCCTTTACAACTCCAGCTTCATTGTAGACTAGGCCTATTTAAAAACAAACAAACACACGAAACACTGATGTGAAGAGTTACTAGGCCTATAGCTTGATCTTATTCAGCGATTAATACCATAAGAAGCATCAATTATTAATCTGAAATATGGTATTCAACTTAGAATCAACACGGTTCCAGTGGAGTCACTGGAATGGAATCCTGTTATAAACCAAAGACTACCTGTATAAATGCTTATGCTACAAACAAACAACAACCAAAAAGAAAAGAAAAAAAAAAAAAAAAACCCATTGCTGTCAAGTTGATTCCAACTCATAGCGACCCTACAGAGCAGAGTAGAACAATTGCTCCATAGGGTTTCCAAGGTTTTAATCTTTACAGAAGCAGACTGACACATCTTTCTCTTGCACTTATACAACATCTCCTTAATTCAATTGATTTTTGCAGCGAGTGATTCTAAAAGATCTCAAGCACAATGATGGTAATTTCACTGAAAGACAGAAGATAGAATTGAACAAGGTATGTGTCCCCTGTTTCAAATCCTTACATAAGAAATAACTTCACTCCACTTTATATAAGCCCTGAGGTTCCTGGTAGAGCAAGGTGTTACTGAGGATGTTAACTGAGAAGTCTTCAGACAAAGAAATGAGTGACTATTCTTGTTACTGTTGAACATTCTACCAAGAAATAGAGAAGGATGTTTGACAGTGCAAAACATTTTGGAAATCTACTCATATGTCCTAGAAAATGGCCCTAATATAATTTTACAGTAGTCAAAGGTTTATATTTAAGACTTCCTACTGACAAAGGAAAGCTTATTGAATGTGTACTAAGAAATGGCTACTGATGTTTCAGTTTATTAAGAACAATGCATCTTCCCAAAGATCTAAGACACAATTTTATTGGCATATTAATTTTAACTCTGGTTTCCCTCTCTGGCTGATCTGCTTTATAAACCTATCATTCCAGTTGCTTCAGATTGACTATTACAACCTGACCAAGTTCTACGGCACAGTGAAGCTTGATTCTATGATCTTTGGCGTTGTTGAATACTGTGAGAGAGGATCCCTCCGGGTAAGGAACCATGGCCATTTCCAATTTCCTAACTGGCAATCTACTTCCGTAGAGATACCACCTCGGAAACCCAAGGAGGGGTCGCTATGAGTTGGATCTGACTCGACAGCAGTGAGTTGAGTTAACTGGCCATCCATTTGAAGAAAAATAAATATTGAGTAGCCTTATTAAATGTTCACTCAGTGAAATACTATTGAGAGTCATCAAGAAAACTGGTGCTTTTCAAACTAGACCACTCAGATTTTATCAGTCAGGCCTACTGAATCTTTACACATGAACAAACTAAAAAATTAACAAGTTTAGAGCTGGAGGTGGGCGAAGAATAGAAGTGGAAAAGTGACCTCCAACAAATTAGTTTCATTTTACTTGCCCCAACTTGCTTTTGCTTTAAGAGGGAAATGAATGGTCATTACAATAGCACTAAGTAAGTAAGCGTTAGGAGACTTGTTTATAAGTCCTACTTCTGCTACTGTTTAGATTCTTCTCTCTCCTCTATGACAGACTGGGGACAGGGTAGGAGCTTTCAAATAAGGTCAGGTATTCAGGCTGACCAAAGCAGAAAGAGGAAGTAAGAGAAGTTTGAATCAAGTTCTTGGGAAGCACCAAGTATCAAACTAGGAATACCAAATCATTACACAGTCCAGAAAGACAGACATAGTTCATTAAAAACAAGCAAAATCAGGTGTTGTTGTGGTTCTCTAGTGCTACTCTAATAGAAAATACCAAAAATGGGTGGCTTTAACAAACAGGGATTTATTCTCTTACAGTTTTGGAGGCTAGAAGCCTGAGTTCACAGTGCCAGCTCTAGGGGTTGGATGAAGGCCCCTTAACCTTGGGCTTCAGCTTTATCTCTTGCTCCTGGCTCACTGAAGCTGGAGGCTTCTCTTAGATGGCTGTTGGCTGCTGAGGCTGACAAATCCAAGGTCGACAGTCCCCAAATTATCAGGCAACACAAAAGGCTGCTAATTCAAGTCCATTAACAGTCTCAAGATTGGCAGACAGCATTGTAGGCCATTGAGATAAAGACTCGGCTACGTGCAGGGTGCAAGCGTGCCAAAAAGCTCAGAGAGCTCCCTCAAAGCTGTCTTCTATATACTGGAAGCAGACCACATCCCTAAGGCAGCTACTCAGCTGCTCCAGTAGATTCCACCATGGAGTTGATTACCAATCTCATTATGAGGAATAACTACATCCAGTTGCCCAGCCACTCAAAACCAGGCCCAGCCAAGTTGACGTACAACTACTACAAGTGTCAAGCAGAAATTGGATTGGAATAAGAAAAAGCAGGAGAAGAAAGGAATCTGGTACAATTACTTCAAAGACCACTGAAATGTCTGCACCTTAACTTGCACTACTTCTAAACATGTGCTATGCAAGCTTTCAGCCTTTTAGATAATTTTGAGTATGATGACCATATAATTTATTAGGATACTTTAGATAGTGGAAGGGAATACTGTAATGATTATGGTTTAAGGCCAATGAAGCTGATGGATGCAGTTAATAATGAGTAAAAAGCTAAACCTATTTAATACATTTCCTAATAGCAATTCCATGTTTAAAAATGTTAGTCTGATTTTGAAGAGACAGAATATAGGATACAGGTGTGAATCAGACTCACTGCCCACTCTTCAGACAAGTGTCACTCATTTCTTTACCCCTGTCTGACAGAAGAACTTGGAGCTGGGAGGTGGGAGCTGCAGGTATCGCCTGTTCATATGCCTCAGGTGAAGCCACCTCATGTTTATTATTTAGTTGTTGTTGTTGTTATGTGCCGTCGAGTTGGCCCCGACTCATAGCGACCCCTCCTTGGGTTTCCAAGGCAGTATCACTACGGAAGTAGGATTGCCCAACCTTCCTTCCGAGGAGTGGCTGGTGGGTTTGAACCGCCAGCCTTCTGGTTAGCAGTCAAGTGCTTTAGCCACTATGCTACCAGAGCTCCTAGTAGAGAAAAGAAATAAGTGTTTAAGAAAACCAGGACAAATGTTCCTGATCCCAAAGCCTCATGATTAGGAGATCATCATTTAGTTAATAATAGTCTCTCTACAATATCCCTTCTTGCAATAATTCATCTCTTTTTTTTTTTTTTCCTCCTATTCAGGAAGTTTTAAATGACACAATTTCCTACCCCGATGGTACATTCATGGATTGGGAGTTTAAGATATCTGTCTTGTATGACATTGCTAAGGTAAGAGAACTACTAACACACTCACATGCAGACAAACATTATAAAAATTAAATAAAGGAAAACAGAACTAGCAAGTTAGCTATCATTTTGGTACATGGGTGTCTTCATCTATAAAATGATAACATTACTAGTACCTACATCATGGGGCTGTTTTGAGGAATTTATAAAATAATGGATGTAAAGTTTTTTAAAATTTTGGCTCTTATCACTTTTATTATCCTACTCTTAAAATTTTTATTATCCTATTCCGGGGTTGGGATACGCATTCTTGTAGACTGCTAGATGTCAAAATTATAAAGCTGACCAAGGAAGACAACTGAATGCTCAACTTGTTAAGAGAAAGTACTAAGGACAGGCAACCATCTGGTAAGAGACAATGAGAAATTTGGACATGCATCTTCCCAGATATAAGAAGGGAAGCAGACACCAATAACCAGGACTTCATTCAAGAATGAAGAAAAGTCAGGCCTGAAAGTGGGCTATATGGTCCAGCCTTAAATCACCTGAATCACATAGGATCAGAATCATTTTGGAAAAAAATATGTTCAATAGCCTAATTGTGGCAGTTCAGTGGTTCATGTGGGAGATCCTGGCTGAAACATTGCGTGCTCAGTCACCACCCATCTGTCAGTGGAGCCTTTCATGCGGCAGTGATGCTGAGCAGTTTCAGTGGAGTTTGTAGACCAGTATGGACTAGTAAGAAAAGCCTGGCTAGCTACTTCTGAAAATGAGCCAATGAAAACTCTGTGGATCACAACTGTCCAAGCTGATCTGCTGATAGCCATGAGGATGGTACAGGACCCAGAAGCATTTCATTTTGTTGTGCCTGGGGTCGCCATGAGTCTGGGCAACTAGACGATAGCTAACAACAATTTCCGCTATGACACTTCTGACCACCAGAGGGAAGCACATGAATTAAAAAAAAGAAAAAAAGAAACCAAAAAACATACGCTTCATTTTTCAAAACCCTCTTAAGAATGAAACAGATTTGGTGTTGGGAAATAATATAGGCTACTTCCTGCCTTCAGAAAGCAAGACTTTATTATTTTAAAATTGAGGTAGCAGAAGATCAGAGGCATGGCCAATATCACAGACTAAATAAATGGGCAGCTGCTTCTTGTTGTCATGTGCCATTGAGTAGATTTTTGACTCATAGTGATGCCACGTGACAGAATAGAACTACCCCATGTGGTTTTCAAGGCTGTAATATTTACAGGAACAGATCTCCAGGTCTTTCTACGGCAGAGCCACTGGGTGGGTTCAGCCCACCAACCTTCCAGTTAGCAACCAAGTGCTTAACCACTGCACCACCAAGGCTCTTTAAGTGGTAAGCAGAAACACTTTACAAATCTGTTCTCTTGATCCTCTGGCATTTACTCTTTTAATGTCATTTCTCAGATAAGAAAAAATAGGGTTAACCCTTTGCCTCATATTATATACCTATTTAACCAGAGTCTTTAGACAACTGATTGCATTTTTACTGTGCCACCTAATTAGAATTCAAAACTGATGCGGTGTTCAGTCAAATCTTATGGCATTACCACTGTTTCAAAAATAAAATTAATGGGATCAAATTACAAATCTTATGGTATGATTTTATCTGTGTACTGAAATGTTTTCAAAATATCACTTCTTTAAAATAATCAAGCAGCTAAAGAGTTTCATATATCTTTGTTTTCCTGTCATCCGAAAAATTATAGGGGATGTCATATCTGCACTCCAGTAAGACAGAAGTCCATGGTCGTCTGAAGTCCACTAACTGTGTAGTAGACAGCCGAATGGTGGTGAAGATCACTGATTTTGGCTGCAATTCCATTTTACCTCCCACCAAAGGTCTGTAATGAATGAAACTTTTACTTGTTTCCCATTTATTTTTCATTTTATCACAAGGCCATGTAGGGAACTTAGAAAATGATGACACTGATCAGAAAATAAATACTTGAAGCCACAAGAGGCAACAGCTGGCTCATTCTCCAGCACTTGTCACTTGTCAGTGTTCACCAAGTGCTTCTTGAGTGGAGAAGATGTACTCTGAGGATTCCCTTCATCTGTGGGCCCCTTGAGTATCAGTGAGAAATCATGAAGAACTTACTGGCTGATGGAAGCAGCACTGAGTGGCAAAAAAATACAGATGGTTAGAGCAGAAGGAAACCTTAGAAACCATTCTTCTTTTAGAGAAGACAAATGAGGCATAAGAATTGTAGATGTCATTAGTTTATCTGAGATTCTTGTTTTCTTATCAGTAAAAGATGCTCCTCTTTGGAATGTGGTGAAGATCAAAAAAGATTAGACAAAAGCCAAGTGTATTCTTTATTGTAACTCGGGATTAAATAGACTCACCAATCTAGCACTCATGCCTCAAAATACTACCTAGATTCAGAAACTAAATTCTACTTTGCAAGCTTTTCATTTTTCCTCAATAAAAGAAACATGATAATTCTGTCCCTGCCTCTACAATCACATCAATATAGTATTGGACTCAAACTCCTCAAAGATTTCTATATACCAACCATGGTTCATAGTTCATCATGTAGTAGAACAAATCTCCTTTATTAAATTACTCACTATGACACAAAATCAGATGAATTACAGGTCAAGTCCTACCCTCCTGAGCATCAGTCAATCATACCTACCTGTGGTGCAGTTGTTAAGCACTTGGTTGCTAACCTGAAAGGTTAGCGGTTCAAACTCATTCTGTGGGAGAAAGATGTAGCAGTCTGCTTCAGTAAAGTTTACAGCCTTGGAAACCCTATTGGGACATGTGGGTGGAAGACAAATTGTGGAAAATATGTCTCATTATATGTATATCATTGCTCTTAACAATATGCTCTATAGATATTTCACTGAAATTGATGAAGCTAGAAATCCCAAAAAGTTTATAAGGTGATCTTGAAAACTTTCTAAGGATGTTGACATTAATTGTATGGTTCTGTTATTACTAAATAAGATAGGAGATACCAGTCCAAAATGCATATGCCTACAGGAGCCAAACACAAGGCATAGGAGCATTGCACTTGGGTGAAGTGGACTAGATGTAAAGCAGTAGGGAGTGGAGGAAACAGTGAGTAACTTTTATATATGTATAATTTTTTAAAGACTACTGTGGGAACCTAAGAAAACACCTCTGAGGATGATAGTTAACTTGGAGGCTGCCAGGATGTCAGGCTTAGAAAATATTAATGATAATCTCATTAATGGCATTGTCTTTATTTTTGTTTAGTAAATATATATATTAAGCTTATATTTATTTATTTATAAAGGTTTTCACAGGTTTACACTGTATGTCCTGAAAAAACAAAAACTAAACCCATTGCTGTCAAGTTGATTCCAACTCAGAGTGACATTATAGAACAGGATAGAACTGCCCTATAGAGTTTCCAAGACTGTATGGAGTGGCTGGTGGGTTCAAACCACCAACCTTTTGGTTATCATCTGAGTGCTTGCACCACTGTGCCACTAAGCCTCCTTATTATATGTCCTATAAGCTATTAAATTCTTTTGCCTCTCATATTTTATTGTATTTATTCAACAAATAGTTAGTGTGCACTTAGTATATCAAACCAAAAAAATAAAACCAGTCACCACTGGGTCAACTCCAACTCACGGTGATCCTGTATGTTGCCGAGTAAAATTGTGTTCCGTAGGTTTTCAGGGCTATGACCTTTCAGAAGCAGATTGGCAGACCTTTCTTCTGAAGAGAATCTGGGTGGGTTCAAAATGCCAACCTTTTGGTTAGTAGCCCAGCTCTTAACCATTTGTATTACTCAGGGAGCTCTACTTACACCAGACCTTAGTCTAGGTAGGCCTTGAGGATTTTGAGGACTATGGTCCTAACAGTTTGGGAGGAGAGACTGCTATTTTGACCTCATTCAAATCCTCACACTTCATAGCTTGAAAGGTAAGTATACATTCTACCCCTTAGCACCAGTATTGGCATATACTCCTCAAGCATTTGGCACCATACAAATTCAAAGCCATCCATATTCAGGGTGGATGGTGTAGGGAATTAAAGAACAAAAGAGTTGGAGACTTTTGAGCTGCTTACCACCCTTCTATATTCTATTTCAATGGCTGACTGCTCAGACTTGTGGACAGCCCCAGAACACCTTCGCCAAGCCAACGTCTCTCAGAAAGGAGATGTATACAGCTATGGGATCATCGCCCAGGAGATCGTTCTGCGGAGAGAAACCTTCTACACATTGAGCTGCCGGGACCAGAATGGTAAGACTCTGAAACCCTTCAACTGCCCCCACTGGGGACCAGCCAACTTGCATCCTAGGCTGACTGGGAGACTTTTCTGATTACCTAGTGCTGCTCTGACAGGAATATACCACAAATGGGATGGCCTTAACAAATAGGAGTTTATTCTTACAATTTGGAGGTTTTAAGTCCAAGTTCACAGTGCTAGGCTCTAGGGGCTGGGTGAAAGCCCCTCAACCTCGGGGTCCAGCTCTGCCTCCTGCTCATGGCCCACTGGAGCTAGAGGTGTTTCTTCACTCAGACAGCTGCTGGCTGCTAAGGCTGAGAAGCCCCAAGGTTAGCAAGTAAAAAGGCACAGTCCCGGTATTACCAAACCACATGGCAGGCCATTAACTTAAGTCCATTGTAAGTCCCAAGGTCAGCAAAGCATAGCAGGCTGCTGAGCAATAACACAGCCACATGCAGGGTCCAAGCATGCCAAAGGCTAGAGACCATTCCCAAAGCTCCTGTTTATATACAGGGAGCAGACCACATCCCAAAGGCAACTACTCAGCTGCTCACAGGAGAGTCTACCATGGAGTTGATTACCAGTCTCATTATGAGGAATACTACATCCAGCTGCCCAGCCACTCAACCAGGCCTAGCCAAGTTGACACAAAAACATAACCACTACAGAGACTAATCCATTTATGACCATATCTCAGTTCCCTCATCTGCAAATGTAATGACATATCTGCATCTCACATTTCATAGGGGTACTAGAAGGACTAAATGACAGTATAAATGTTAGAGTGCTTTTAAAAGCATAAGACAATACACCACTGCCAAATATCATTATTATCAATGTTATTCTTTGTTAAAGAATTTTCCCTTACAATTTCCTTCTTTCCTCTTGATCCCACAATGAAAAATGTTTCTGTTTAACACATGAATGAGATCACTGTAGTGGGACAACAAACATATCTTAGGTCTTACTGAAAAAAGATCTATAATTTTTGTTATATGTCTTCTCAGAGGGGGAAAAAATGCTTCATTTCATTCATTCAGTCTTTGTTTATCAAGAATTTATTAAGTGTCAGCTCCTAACTGTCTGGCAGGGGTTGAGGAGGTAAGAAGGTTAGCTAAGAGATAGAGAGAGGACAGAGCCAGAGTGGGTAGAGAAAACACACCAAATGCTGTGGAGTCTGAGTTGAGTTTTAAAAGGTTATTACCTTAAGTGAAGGCAATCTTCTGGGTATAAATAGGTATAAGACCCCTTTGCCTGATGATTCACTCATTCTGCAATGTATTATCTGTGAAGTGCTGGTCTGCTTTGGAACACTCTGACTGGATGGGTGAATTAATCCTGCTGAAGTTTCTTCAGGATGCATTCTGTCTTGTAATTTGAATTATTGTCATTCTTTCAGAGAAGATTTTCAGAGTGGAGCATTCCATAGGACTGAAACCCTTCCGCCCAGATCTGTTCCTGGAAACAGCAGAGGAAAAAGAGCTAGAAGTGAGTGCATCCTCTTTGCATTCATTTCTTGTGATTACTGAACAACTTAACACCAGTTTAGTAGCTTAAAATACAGAATTTATTCTCTCATAGTTCTGGAAGACAGAAGTTCAAAATCAGGATCACTAGGCAAAAATCAGTAGGGTCACACTTTCTCTGGAGGCTCTACAGGAGAATTCGTTCCTTCTCTCTTCCAGCTGGCTGCCGGCATTCCTTGGCTTATGGCTGCATCACTCCAATCGGTGCTCACATTGTAGTCTCCTCTTCTAACTTCCCTCTGCCTCTCTCATAAGGATGCTTGTGATTGCATTTAGGGCTCAGCCAGATAATCCAGAATAAGCGCCCCAGTTCAAGATCTAAGGAGCTCTGTGGTGCAGTGGTTTAAGTATTTGGCTGCTAACCAAAAGGTCAGCAGTTCCCACCAGCCGCTCTGTGGGAGAAAGATAAGGCAGTTAGCTTCCATAAAGATTTATACCCTGGAAGCTCTAGGGGGCAGCTCCACCCTGTTCTATAGGTTTGTTCTGCGTCAGAACCCACTTGATGGCAGTCTGTTTGTTTTTATCTTAAGATATCATTCACGGGTCCCAGAGATTAGAACATGGGCATATCTTTGAGAGCCACTATCAGTCTATCACACTCCCCATGTCCCCCTGAGCTTCTCCTAACTCAGTAAAGAGCTGGCTCCCTAGGGACTCATCACATTCTCAATTTTTAGGAGCTAAAAGGGCAAGATGTCCATGAGGATATGCTCATTACACTTATAAATACTATCTACTGACTAAAAAAGAAATATGCCAACATCCAGAAACAATAAAGAGAAGTTACTTTTCATTCCTTTTTATCTCCCTTCTGGTATGTCCGTGGATGGTGCAAATGGTTAAGTAAGTACTCGATTATTAGCCTACAAACTGGCCCCTCAAACTCACCCAGAGACACCTCAGAAGATAAGCCAGATAGATGATCTGCTTCTAAAAGTTCAGCTTTGAAAACCCTGTGGAATTTTGAAAAGTTTACTCTGCACACGTGGGGTCACTGTGAGTTGGAATCAACTCAATAACAACAACAACAGCATCCTCCCTCAAAAAGAGATGGAGGCTTTTCCTCTGTATTTTCTGTTTTTTTGGGTTTTTGTTTGTTTGCTTAGTAATCCTTCACAAAGGGCTTTAAGGAAGAATTATTATTTTTAGAATTTTACATGAGCTTTTCTAATCCTAGAAGACACTGAGAAAAATATTTTAAAATATTTATGGCCTTAAAAAAATCCCTTTTGTTTCTTGAGGGATAAAGATAGAAACATTTTCCTTAAATTTATGAACACCCTGGCAGATGTGTTTTATGGTCAGACTCTGTGAGCCATGAGTGGGCCACTTTTTATTTCTCTTCCTTCTCCACATTCAAGGCACCTTATAGCCACAAGGTTCTGAGATACAGCTGCTTCTATCCTTGCCCTCTGACATTTCTTCCTTTCTTCCTGCTTTTCCCAATCCTGGACTTCCTTCCCACAAATCAGCTTCTCCCTCCTTGGACCCTCCTCCTTTCTAATCTGAGTATATTCAAATGTTGTTTAAAACCTCTTTCACCAAAGCTTTTTCAACCTCAATTCATTTGTTATTGTTATGTTATGTGCTGTCAAGTTGGACCCAACTCATAGTGACTCCTCCCCTTGAGTTTCGGAGGCAGTATCACTACGGAAGTAGATTGCCCAACCTTCCTTCCAAGGAGTGGCTAGTCAGTTTGAACTGCCAGCCTTCTGGTTAGCAGTCAACTACCTTAGGCACTACGCTACCAGAGCTACCCAATTCACTTGTATAGTTCTGGAATTGAAAATAAGGAATGAGTGTTCATTTCTAGGAACTGGTTCCAAAAGAATACAGAAATGAAACTAAATCTCTTGGCAATACTTTAAAAGCACCTGGTAGTCCACTGAGGGTGTTGTATGACGCCATTTATTGGTTGTTGCTGTCCACTCCTCAGTCAGCAGTTCATTTCCAATGCAGGAGCATCATCTAGTGGTGAATGTAAACAACCAGTGGCTGTACCCAGGCTCTGGTCCATTCCTGGGGTCAGGTTCAGGCACAGTGCAGGGACAGGGACTGCATTCAGTACCATTTGTGACCTTGCTTTTAGCCACAGTGAAGAACAAAGTTTATTTGATCAGACAGAAGCTGAATTCAGATTATAGCAGATGAGATGATGGTCCCATGGGCTTCCTCATGTCTCCCTCTTCTATTGTACTTCTCTTTCTGTACTTCTGAGCAGGGGTTTGAACCAGTTCAACTTTCCAGTTTTACCCCCTGCTGAGAATTTGTAGTTCTACCCCAAATATACTGAATCAGAATCCACAGTGTAACAAGATGCCAGGTGATTCCTAATAAATCCCTAGATGCTTATGTATACATAAGAATCATCAGGGGATCTTGTTACAATATAGATTCTGACTGTGTATCTGGGATGGAAATGAAAATTATCAGCAGCGGGTCAAACCAAAATGAACTGGTTCAAAGCTTTGCTTCTGAGATGTAGCTGTGCCTTACAATCACCTGGGGAACTTAAAAACAAAATACTGTTGCCCTTTGCCAGTGCAGTATTTGGGATATACTTAACTAAGCAATTTGCATTGTTTATCTGAAAAAGCACTTGACTGCTCACCAGAAGGCTGGCGGTTCAAACCCACCAGCCACTCCTCGGAAGGAAGGTTGGGCAATCCTACTTCCGTAGTGATACTGCCTCGGAAACCCAAGGAGGGGTCGCTATGAGTCATGGCCGACTCGACAGCAAACAACAACAACAACAACAACATCTGAAATTCAGATTTAACTGGGGTCCTGTATTTTTGTTTGCTAAATCTGGGAACCGTATTTATGCCGCATTACAGACCAATTAAATCAGAATCCCATGAGGTGGAGCCTGAGTATAAGAAATTTTTGTAAATGTTCTCCAGGCAGTTCTGGTGTTAGCCATGATTGAGAACCACCAGTGTATAATCTCACTCTCATTTAGTGTAACTTGTCTTATATACACTCAATCCTAATTATTCTTTGCCCTCCCCCAACATAAGCCCAGTAAACTCCCATAAAGTATTTTGTCTCTCCCATTGACTCATCCCCATCCAATGTAGGTCCCGAGGGAAGGGTTGGGTACAGTAAGGTGGGTGGTGATGCCTGAGACAGGATCTGCAGAGATCTCTTCTCCTCACTGTCAGAATTGGAGAAAATATCCCCTGCCTTAGTAATTCCTACTATAGAAGAGACCAAACTGAAACCAAATTCTCTGCCCCTGAATCAATTCCAACGCATAGTGATTCTATAGGACAGAGTAGAACTGTCCCAAAGGGTTCCAAGGCTGTAAATCCTTATGGAAGCAGACTGTCATATCTTTCTCCTGAGTAGGGGCTGGTGGATTCAAACCATCAGCTTTTTAAAGATTAGCAGCTGAGCACCTTAACCACTGCACCAGCAGGGCTCCTTTATCGCAGAGAACTGGATAGGAATTCAATCTTGATTGAGCTTACTGTCCCCTTACCTAATCTTATTGGCCCCTTGTTTCTTCTAGGTGTATCTACTTGTAAAAAGCTGTTGGGAGGAGGATCCAGAAAAGAGACCAGACTTCAAGAAAATTGAGAATACACTAGCCAAGATATTTGGGTATTCTTAAATTTTTATTTTTCCTCACTAATTTCAGATTGTTCTAATAGTTGACATTCAGGGTCATCTAAAGAATGAGTATGCCTATTCCAATAGAAAAATCCTAGACTGCAACAGCTGTCTAAAAAAAATTTATAATGATATGGAGACTAACAGTCCATTTCTCAGGGAAATACTCACTTGAAAATTTAAACACTCAAGGTCAAAACTTGCTGATCAAACAACAGATTGTGATGGATCATAAAGTTGTCTATTAAAAATATAGTTCCCAGGCCCCTCCAGTAATGAGGATTTAGACATTTAGTGTGGGTCCCGTGAATCTGTAAAAGAGCCCTGATGATTCTTCCAATCAACAAGTTTCTTAAGATCTTAAAATCCATCTAAGATCATCAATCTTAGCCCTAGGTACTTAAGACTTGTGTTAGCACCCAATGATCCAAAAACAAATCAAACTCACTGCCATCAAGTAAATTCTGACAGTTCATTCCAGCTCCAATTTTCTGGGGTTCTCTTTAGGTCAAAAGCTACAGATGCTTAATGAAACTAAAGCCAAGGGTTAGAGATAAAGTAAAGTTAGTGAAAGTGGGGTCATGTTTTGGTCGAGCTAAACTGTCAGTTGTGGGAATGAAGCAGGAAAGAAAACAGAATTTCATTGCTTTCCCCTCTTCCCACAACTTTATAAAGCTGTTACTCAGAGCAAACGAGATTGTACGTATGACAGGTGAAATTTAAGCTCATCATGATAAATTAGGCACCTGATAGTTAACCTTTAATACAGTGGTTCTCAAGCTTGGCTGCACATTGGAATCACCTGGGAAGCTTTAAAAACTACTGATGTCTGGGCTCAGAGACTCTAAAGTAATTGGTATGGGGTGCAGGCTGACTCCCCAGGTGATTAAAGAATGCAGTCAAGATTAAGAAAACTGCCTTAATTGAATTAATTAATTATGGAATAAGATAAGATAATAAATAATTTGTCTTCATCCCTAACACCTGCTCCCTCACCCATTTCCTCTAACTGGACTCTACTCATGATTTCAAAAACAATCTCATGGGAAGCTTGTTTGGGGAAAAAAAAAAAAAAAAGTTTCTTAATCCCAAACCCAGAAATTTAGAATATACTAAATGTTTAATAAGCATTCCTTCCTACCCTAGAGGATTCTGAGGCATCTTCTTCTGAGTTCAGAAAAGGTAACTTAAAATTGTTATTGTAATAATGAAATGAGTATGCTTTATTAAGCACCTCCAATTGCACCATATGAGTTCTGAACATTACCTCCAGTCCTCACAACTCATGAGGGCTTAAACACGTGTGTCTCCTTGGCACTAAGGCTTGTCAAATTTACCATTGCCACAAAAAGGGGCATCTCATCTAGGTCTCCTTGGTCTAACAAGCACCCAGAGTTAGGTTTTTTGCTTCAGGACCTTGACTCTCTGGCCCTCTTCTGAGGAGTACATAAGATAGAAGGTTCAGCTTTACTTTTCTTGATCCTTCTCTCAAATTTCCATTTATCACTTCTAAATCATTTAAAAAAATTTTTTCTGGTGTTTTCAACTTACTGAAAATAGATTATTAAAAATTTAGAAAATAAATGATCAAACAAAATAAAAACATCACCTGTTTTCCCACAGATGTTCTCCAGTTTTTTTAAAATAAAAATGAGGTTATAATTTTAGTTGTTTTATAATCTAATTTATTTCATTTAACAATATATAGAGAAATTTGTATGTGATTTAACTTTTCTAATTCATGTTTGGAAGCTCTGGTGGCATAGTGCCTAGGGCATTTGACTGCTAACCAGAAGGCTGGCAGTTCAAACCCACCAGCCACTCCTCGGAAGGAAGACTAAGCAATCTAATTTTGTAGAGATAACACCTCAGAAACCTAAGGAGGGGTCACTAAGAGTTGGAATCGACTCAACAGCAGTGAGTTTAATGACACATAAGATTCCATCATACCATAAAATCTTAACTACTCTAGTCATGTTATTTTCATGTTTGCTGTTTAAAGGATGCTGTGACTTCCTTTAAAGTTAATATTTATCACATTCCTGAATTTCCTTGGGATAATTCTTAGAATGAGATAGGTCAATAGCATTCTTAAAGCTTTTGACAACTTTTATCTGGTTGCCCTCTAGGAAGGTTGTACTGTTTATCTTCCCAACTTCTTATTTACACAGGTTACCAGTGTTTTAACATTTGTTTCTATTTTCTCTTATTAAATTTATTTCTATTTCTTCTGACATTAAAATTTTTTGTTGGCAATTTTGAAAAATATTTTATTATGTTTTTGGTGAAAATTTACAGCAAATTAGGTTCCCATTTAAGAATTTCTATACAAATCATATCATTCAATGACATTGGTTACATTTTTCACAATGTGTCAGCATTCTCATTATTTCCATTCTGTTTGTTCTGTTTCCATTAATCTAGCTTCCCTACACTTCTTTTACCTTTTCAGTTTTTGCTTTAGGGTAAATGCTGATTGTTCAGTTTCTAATAGATGATTATTTAAAGGAGTACTCACTAGTGATAATGTTTATTTTATGAGTCAATCAGTTATTTGGTTGAAAAGTAACCTCCAGGAGTAGCTTCTGTTCGAAGTTTAAAGGATATCCCTGGGCGATAGTCTCAGGGGTTCCTCTATTCTCTACTGGTCCAGTAGGCCTGGTTGTTTTTGTGAATTTGAGGTTTGTTCTACATTTTTCTCCCATCATCTCTGTGACCATCTATTGTGTTCTTGGTCAGAACAGTCAATACTGGTAGCTGGACACCAGCAGTTTTTTGGTCTTGGGATAGGTGAGAATGGGGTTCATGTGGGCAATCAGTCCTTTAGACCTAGTTTCTTCTTTGAGTCTTTGGTTTCTTCTTTCTCTTTTGCTCCAGATGAGTAGAGACCAATAAGTTGCATCTTAGATGACCACTAACAAGCTTTTAAGATCCCAATGCTACTCACCAAACTAGGATGTAAAACATTATCTTTATGAACTATGTCTTGCCAATTGGCTGAGTGGTCCACGGGACTATGACCCTGAGCCTTCCAATCCAGTAAACCTATCCCACAAAGTGTTTATGTCTAGAAAATATCCATAACTGTGCCCCCTATGTACTTTATTATGTATATGAATCTTTATGCAGCACACACAAACATGTATATATACATATGCCTACAGGTATACATGCATATCCATATACTCACATGTGCCTTCATATACACATATATGCATACTATCTACTTAGATAACTACACATGTATTTTTGGTTGTTATTACTGTTTTTGCAAAATTGTATTGCTGACCAGTTTTGTTTTTAATTTTTTAATTACCTGTTCATCATATTTGCCCATTGTTTTAGTGGATATTCATGGTTTCATAACAATGTGTAAGGCCTCCTTATCTATTACTATCTACAGCCTTTTTCATGACCAAAAAAATGAAAGTTATATGGACACCTTGATCCGACGTCTACAGCTATATTCTCGAAATCTGGAACATCTGGTAGAGGAAAGGACACAGCTGTACAAGGCAGAGCGGGACAGAGCTGACAGACTTAACTTCATGCTGCTCCCAAGGTAAGACAAGTTGTCCTACAGATGTGGTTTCCCAGGATTCCACAGGCATACCTCATAGCTGACAGCTGAAAGTTTCAGCATATCTGTGCAGCATTGTTTTTCTTTGTGTCTATGAAATGTTGCATAGTCTTCAGCAGACTATTGGGTTTCAAAATGCATATACCTTGCCACACCTTACTCTGGCCTGTATTACTTAGATGAAAGAGATTATTTTCAAGTAGGACTTTGAACTGTTTCATTCTGGTTCAACCCCCTTCAAAAAATTTGTATTACCGCCCCAGATATACTGAATCAGAATTTACGTTTTAGCAAGATCCCCAGGAGTTTCTTAGAAAATGTAGATTCTGATTCAGTATATCTGATTCAGTATATAGTCTCCTTGCTTTGATCTTTTCACCTCAAGTAGAAGCCAAGTTATAAGAAGTAGGAACAGACTTTAGTGTAGGAGACAGGGAACACACATGAGATGTCTCACTGTGGAGCATCGGTGGCCTGACCACCATTTTGTAAAGCATTAATACAGTTGTGCCAAGCAAGCAAGAAAGAAAGGTTGAAATTCCCCATGCAGCAGGCCAAGGACAGCCTTGGTTTAAAATTTTGTAAGTGTTGGTAGTCACGTAATAACTGAGGAACATTAAGATAAACAAGGAATTAAAATCTGAAGAGCAAGGAAATAGGGTTGGGCCAAGGAGCCCAAAGCTATACACAAATGAGAAGTAAAGCTCTCTTCTCATTAAAGTATAATAAATTGTCTTATTTGATTGAAGGTAAGCTAGGAAGTCCAGGATTGGGTTAAATCATAGAAACTGAGATCAGCTAAGCCTGACTTAAAATCATGGTTCCACCACCTACTACTGATACGCAATTTTTGGGCAACTTACGTAAATACACCGAGCTTCAGTTTCCCATCTGCCTCACAGGAGGCTCTAAGAATTCCCTGAGATATTCTACAGGATATAAGGTGCTTAGCATGGAGTCTGGAATGTCCATGGTTGTTATTATATGTAGCTATTATTAGATATTATTATAATGATATAATACAAGGTTTTGTATATTATTTGTATTATTATTTTATTTTTACCCTTGCTTCCTTTAGAATATCAGTTATATGTGAGTAAAGGAAAAATTTTGAGATTATATGTGCTGTTTTCTAAATAAATAGTTTCTCTTTTACAAACCTTAGTGAAGAGGCAGGAGTTACACATAGGCTCTGTTCCATCATCAGGGCCTGGAGCAAGCCTGTTGCAGAACCCACCTGCCCTCAGAGTGCACAGGAAGAGGGTGGGGATGGTGTCCTAGGAGTAAGCTGGAACCTTAAGACCAGATACCACCTAAATATTTATTTAAACAATACCCACTGGGGTACTGAAACAGATTAAAATAGATTTTCTTCTTGTGGGGCTCCTTTTAAAAGCAACAACCTGCTATTAAACTCACATTTTAAGTCACAGCTCTTCCTTCATTTATCTACCTACATTAATTTCTCCCTCTGGGTGATTCATTAATTTCCAACTCATATGACTTTTCAGATATTAGCTGCAAAATGAAGGGCAAAAAATGGCGGGACATCAAATTTAATCATTACATCTATGTAGCCCCTAAAATACTCTGTGCTCTAATAGTGGGCAAGTCAAGGCCAGCCATCCTAAAATGCCCCTGTGAGTCCAAGGAGCTACACCAAGGACTGTTTATGAAATGTCCCAAGTTATGTCACTGCACTAAATGACTCCCTTCCATGCTCTGGTAGCATGCTCAGGAGCTCTGGTAGCATAGTGCCTAAGGCACTTGACTGCTAACCAGAAGGCTGGCAGTTCAAACCCACCAGCCACTCCTTGGTAGGAAGGTTGGAGAATCTACTTCCATAATGATACTGCCTTCGAAACCCAAGGAGGGGTCACTATGAGTCAGACTTGAGGGCACATAACAACAATGCTCTGGAGGTTCTCTAAATGAGTGTTGGAATTCCTTGTAGTTTGTTTGTTTTCTAGGGAAGTGCCAGGCATTCATCTTTCCCTACAAAGCAACAAACCTCCAGATCTTCCCTATCCCCTTGAATGGCCAAGGCCTGGGTGTGGAGGAAGTATGGTGCAATAAAAGGACTCAAGAGCAGATGTTGTGCAGTTCTAGTTTTATTCTGCCCTTTGCAGCTGTAAGACCACATGAAAGTAGAACTTCCTCCTTAGGCCTCAGCTTTCTCATCTGTAAAAGTAAGGGATTTATTCTTGATGACTTCTATGATACCTCTTAGCTTTTAGGTTCTGATTCTAGTAGTTCCATATTCAGAAAAGGGCAGACAGGAGAGAATCCAGCCTCTGTCAGCTCCCATGCCCTTAGCTCAATGATTTGGCAACTTGGCACATAAAGGAAGCGTTAAGTCCTCTCTTGGGTTTCTCTCCTACTTCTGGGTTTAATAAACTGCTTATGTAGATCTCTTCAAAGGAGCTCTTGTGGTGCAGTGGCTAAGGCATCTGTCTGCTAACCAGAAAGTCAGCAGTTTGAGCCCACCAGCTGCTCCGGGGGAGAAAGATGAGGTAGTCTGCTTCTGTAAAGATTTACAACCTTGGAAATCCTATGAGGCAGTTCTACTCTATCCTATAAGGTTGCTATGAGTCCAAATCAACTTAACAGCAGTGGGTTTAGTTTTGGAATACATATATGCACTTGCTCACTTATTATCATTTTCACCCACTTGTTACCAGTTTTAGCAAATTCTTAGCTTATTTCCATAGTGATTGACTTCACTTTTAAAGGAACCAAATCTGGTTGTCACTCATTCACTCACTCACTCACTCACTGCTGTAGTTCTGACTCATGGTGACCCCTCCTCGGGTTTCTGAGGTGGTATCACTATGGAAATAGATTGCCCAATCTTCTCTTCAAGGAGTGGCTGTTGGGTTTGAACCACTAGCCTTCTGATTGTTGTTGTTGTTGTACCTTAGGCACTATGCCACCAGAGCTCCCTGGCTCACACTATACCAAAATAAATATTTAAATGTATTATACCTTCATAGAGAGCCAAAGTATGATCTTGAATATATCCCTCCTGAATTTAGAGATCATCTAAAGAATAGATTTGATGCATTGAACACCAACGAACGAAAGCCAGATGAATTATGGGAAGATATCAAGAACATTATCCATGAAGAAAGCAAGAGATCACTAAAAAGACAAGAAAAGAAGAGAAGACCAAAGTGGATGACAGAAGAGACTCTGAACCTTGCCCTTGAGCAGAGAATAGCTAAAACAAATGGAAGAAATGAAAAGGTAAAAGGGCTGAACAGAAGATTTCAAAGAGCAGCTCGAGTAGACAAAACCAATTACTATAATGAAATGTGCAAAGACCTGGAGTCTGAAAACCAAAAGGGAAGAACATGCTCAGCATTTCTCAAACTGAAAGAACTGAAGAAAAAATTGAAGCCTCGAGTTGCAATATTGAGAGATTCTATGGGCAAAATATTGAATGATGCAGGAAACATCAAGAGAAGATGGCAGGAATACACAGAGTCACTGTACCAAAAAGAACTGATGGATCTTCATCCATTTCAGGAAGTGGCATATGATCTAGAACCAATGGTAATGAAGGAAGAAGTCAAAGCTGCAATGAAAGAACTGGCGAAGAACAAGGCTCTGGGAATTGGTGGCATACCGATTGAGATATTTCAACAAACAGATGCCCCATTGGAGGCACTCACTCAGTTATGCCAAGAGATTTGGAAGACAGCTACCTGGCCAACTGACTGGAAGAGATCCATATTTGTGCCCATTCCAAAGAAAGGTGATCCCACAGAATGTGGAAATTATCAAACAATATCATTAATATTGCAAGCAAGTAAGATCTTACTGAAGATAATTCAGAAAGGTTTGCAGCAGTATATTGACAGAGAACTTCCAGAGGTTCAAGCCGGATTCAGAAGAGGACGTGGAACAAGGGATATCATAGCTGTTGTCAGATAGATCTTGGCTCAAGGCAAAGAATACCAGAAAGATGTTTACTTGTGTTTTATTGACTATGTAAAGGCATTTGATTGCGTGGATCATGACAAATTATGGATAACATTGAGAAAAATGGAAATTCCTGAGCACTTGATTGTACTCATGAGGAATCTGTACCTTGACCAGGAAGCTGTCGTTCGAACAGAACAAGGGCACACTACATGGTTTAAAATCAAGAAGGGAGTGCGTCAGGGTTGTATCCTTTCTCCACACTTATTCAATCTATATGCTGAGCAAATAATCCGAGAAGCTGGCCTGTATGAAGAAAAACATGGTATCAGGATTGGAGGAAGAATCATTAACAACCTGAGATATGCAGACGATACAACTTTGCTTGCTGAAAGTGAGGATGACTTAAGGCACCTACTGATGAAGATTGAAGAATACAGTCTGCAGTATGGATTACATCTCAATATAAAGAAAACAAAAATCCTCACAACTGGACCAATGAGAAGCATCACAATAAATGGAGAGAAGATTGAGGTTGTCAAGGAATTCACGTTGCTTGGTTCTACAATCGATGCCAACGGAAGCAGCAGTCAGGACATTAGACGATGTGTAGCATTGGGAAAGTCAACTGCGAAGGAACTGTATCAAGTGCTGAGGATCAAGGATATCTCCTTGAGGACTAAGGTGCACCTGACACAAGCCATGATATTTCCAATCGCCTGGTATGCATGTGAGAGCTGGACAATGAATAAGGAAGACCGAAGAAGAGTTGATGCTTTTGAGTTGTGGTGCTGGCGAAGAATGCTGAAAGTACCATGGACTGCTAAAAGAACTAACAGATCTGTCCTGGAGGAAGTGCAGCCAGAACGCTCCTTGGAAGCAAGAATGGCCAGACTTCGTCTCACCTATTTTGGTCATGTTGTAAGAAGGGACCATTCCCTGGAGAAGGATGTCATGCTTGGTAGGGTGGAGGGTCGACGAAAGAGGGGGAGGCCTTCAATGAGATGGATTGACACAGTGGCTGCGATGATGGGCTCAAGTATAGCAGGGATTGTGGGGCTGGTGCGGGATCGGGCAGTGTTTCGTTCTGCTGTGCATGGGGTCGCTATGAGTTGGAAACGACTCGACGGCACTTAACAACAACAACAACAACAACAATACCTTCATAGTGATACTAACCAATGTTATGTTAAATCTTCCAGAGAGGTAACATTATTGACTCTGATGAGAAAGTCAGACGTGATAACTATAACGATTCAAGCTCTTACATTAATAGCACACTCTCCCTCTCATATCTATAAGACTCTGGTTATCAGTAGAGAAATAATATGTAGGCAAGTACATATATGTATTAGGGTTGTATATGTAGGCAAGAGTGCATATGTATTAAGGTTATGTATGTATTATGGTTACATGTGTGTATGTATTAGGATAGTAATCACATACTAAGTTAATGCTGAATCTGCTTATATTCATCTGTATTAAAACACATGTATTATATTTGTAAGCATATAATATGTTCATGTAAATGGTATATGCAACCTACCTTTGCTGCCTAGCCACCTAATTCACTGGAAATCCCAAATTCTCTAAATTCTGGTGGACAATTACTACTCAGTCTTAAAGATTCATGCAAGAAAAGAAAAAATTACTGAAGTTGAAGACACGTTTTTCCTTCCTCCCCTAGGCTAGTAGTAAAGTCTCTGAAGGAGAAAGGCATTGTGGAGCCTGAACTATATGAGGAAGTTACAATTTACTTCAGTGACATTGTGGGTTTCACTACTATCTGCAAATACAGTACTCCCATGGAAGTGGTGGACATGCTCAATGACATCTATAAGAGTTTTGACCACATTCTCGATCACCATGATGTCTACAAGGTAAACACTTCAACTAGCAGGGCTAAAAAAAATTGTCTGCCCCAAGGTCATCAAGCTGGAATTGATTGTTCCTATTGGGAGCTCTGGTAGCGTAGTGCCTAAGGCACTTGACTGCTCACCAGAAGGCTGGCGGTTCAAACCCACCAGCCACTCCTCGGAAGGAAGGTTGGGCAATCTACTTCCGTAGTGATACTGCCTCGGAAACCCAAGTAGGGGTCGCTATGGGTCAGGTCTGATTCCACAGCACACAACAACAACAACAACAAAATTATTACTTATGTTTGCCTTCTCTAGTTTAAGACTGAATGAATTAGTGGTTGAATTCAACCTAAAAGTGAGAAGAAGTAGAAAAATAAAAGGCTTTGAAAGTCAAAATGACTGTGTAACTTTAAGAAGCTATAGGAAAAAAATAATATGAAGTTCAACAGAAGGAATTTTGGATGGTAAATTTAGAGCAAAGGGTTTACTCTAAAATCATCTCCAAAAAAGGGACAATGTTTAGCCTGATTTAGAAATGAAGCAAAGAAGATACCAGAGTTACAATAAGGAGAACTAGAATCAGTTCATCTATTATCTTTTTTGTTGTTGTTGAAATAGGAAGAGTTGTTGTTGTTATGTGCCTTAGGCACTATGCTACCAGAGCTCCCTGATAGGAAGAGTAGCCAACATCATTCAAAGGAGGGAAACAGAACAGGGAGAGAATTCTGTAATATTCAGAATGAGATATATTATCTGACTAGGGTGGTAGCCAGTTACAGGCTAATGATGTATATGATTCAGAAAAGTAAATGATTGAATTCTCACATTTCCACGTTGGAAAAGCATCATAGCATACGTGATAAGTAACTTAAGAATTAGAGAACTACATCTAAATCCCAATTTTGTGTGACTTCATAAAATATACTTAACCTAATCAAGTCTAATTTTACCAATATATAAAATATTTGGATGATATAATCTAATTAAATGGTTATTGTGGAGATTATTGAGAAACTATACACCTGAAACACAGTAATGTTTAAATAAAGTTTAGATAATAGTTCATATAATAGTCTGTCTATAAGAACCCTCAGAGAAGACTTCCCTTTTATGGTTTGTTTTAGCCCAGTCCTCCTCCTTAGTATTAGTGTTAATAAGTAGGCCATATTAATTACAGTTCCTGTTAGAAAATTATGCATTTTAGAGAAAGTTGGCAGAACGAAGTTAATGAACAAATATCAGAACTATATATATATATATATCAGAATGCATATGATTATATAAATAAAATTACACCCACTCCTCACTTATCAACATGGTTAGGTTCCAAATCATTATGCAAAATTGGGGTTATGCAGAGTTGAGAGTCAGGGACAGTACCCCATCTTCAATCTGATATCTTCCACCCTTTGTTCACTGCCCATGGGGCACCCCAGCAGCAGGTCTTGGGATGTGTATGGCACAGAGGACCCCCTTTTCCCACCATGCCTTCTTCCCACCACAGAGGCCATGGGAGCTGGGATTAGTAGTGGTGGGGTGTTGCCAGCAGCCTTCCAATGCCCTCCCTGGGTGAGGACCTGGCTCTGTTCTCTGCCCAGAGCCCATACTGGGTGGGGACCCTCTCATCCTCTATCTGCCCCACCTGTGCAGTCCTGTACAGCCTCCTTCCCATTCTCCTATTGCCCCCCTCCCCCACCTACCTCTCTGGCACCTTCAGGCCCTCGCCTGGCCTCCCTCTGCCTGCCTGCAACCTCATGTTGTTCTGCTGTCACCCCAGCCCTCTGTGGCCATACTGAGATGTCACAGACAAATGAATGGGAGAAGGCCTCCCACAGCTAGTTGGCCACTGTCTTTCAAGTGAGCCAGTTGTCACCAGGACCTTTGGTACATCATCTGAGGTGGCCCGCAGAGGAGGCCCTGGAAGCAGCCCCACGTGGGATCCCAGACCATAGGAGGTACTGCCTGAGAAATTTTTCAAAGTTATCACAAATACAAAATGTCAGATAACAAGACAGTCAATAAGTAGGTGTAACGTGAGAAAATGATAAATGCTAACAATAACTTTTCTAGCAATTAAGGGTGCTTTTAGATAAATTTAATAAAGCAATGACAATCCATTAGAAAATGTTAATGTTTTCTCCAAGAGTTAAAGACCAATTTAATAAAATGCATAAAACCATTTAGATTGTTTAAACATTAATAGAATTGTCACCACATCTAGATGATTTATATTAAGTATTCTTATATGATTAAATTTCCACATAACTCTTTAATCACCCATTTACCTAGACTATAAAAACTGTTAAGTAATCAGCATAGAATTAGTCTTGAACTGGCCCCAGAAAAAATGTACAAAGCTATGCTCACACTGAGTTCCCAATAAACTTCGGTGTTTGATATGTGATTAAGTGCTTCTGTTTAATTTCTGAGCCTTTTAAAGGGGCAGATCTGCTGATGAGACACTATTTCCATAGGTGGAGACCATTGGTGATGCCTATATGGTGGCTAGTGGTTTGCCTAAGAGAAATGGAAACCGGCATGCAATAGACATCGCCAAGATGGCCTTGGATATCCTCAGCTTTATGGGGACCTTCCAGCTGGAGCATCTTCCCGGCCTGCCAATATGGATCCGCATTGGAGTCCACTCTGGTATGGAATTGATCATCTTAGCAAGTGGGAACTATGTGTACCTCTGTGTAACAACTAAATGAGAAAGGATAAAGGGTCTTCAAATGTGATGGGTTTTCACATGAGGTTTACTTTTGAATTCTGTCACTATATATTGTATATATTATATATATCCTGACATTTTTAACCAGAATCACTTGAGAATTCTAAAATAATGCCCAAGGTTCTCTTGGTTGTTCACCTTTGACTCCTGGAATGATAAACGCTAACCAGTTCCTAAAACAAGAAGCTTTGGGCTTCCTATTTAGTCACAATGTTGTTGTTGTTGTTGTTATGTGCCATCGAGTCAAACCTGACTCATAGCAACCCCTCCTTGGGTTTCCGAGGCAGTATCACTACGGAAGTAAGATTGCCCAACCTTCCTTCCGAGGAGTGGCTGGTGGGTTTGAACCACCAGCCGTCTGGTTAGCAGGCAAGTGTCTTAGCCACTATGCTACCAGAGCTCCCTTTATTTACTCCCCATTCCCACTACCTTCCTCCATTTGACCTGTGTATTTTTTTTTTTTTTCCACTAAAACGCTATAGTCTCTTAAGCAGATTAGATTATATACAGAGAGGAAAAAACAAAACAAGCTAGTCAGATTCCTATATTAAAAGGACATTTATGCTCTCTACCATCTTTTCGCTCCCACCTTCCTTCCAATCACACAATTATACTTCAAAGGTCACTTCAAAGACCATGAAAGTTGTCTAGCCTTGAGCTGGGAGATTTGGGGATATGATTTACAAATATCGTAGAAAAAACTAGTTGGAGAGGAACTCCAGAGTCATTTAGATTAATTCTTTGCAGGGTATATATCCCAAGATAAATAGTCATATAGCCACTTTTAGAATAACTCCAGGACTCCCAAAAAACTATTTCTCAACACAACTCACTCTATTAATGAATAGTTGTCATTGTCATACAGTTGTTCCTTGGGTTAAATTAAATCAAACTTCCTGTATTTGTTGGCATTGACCCTTTTTCTGGCCTCAACTTCACAGAAGAGCCCTGGTGGTGCAGTTGGTAAGCTCTTGGCTGCTAACCAAAAGGTTGGCAGTTCAAACCCATCAGCCATTCTACAGGAGAAAGATGTGTCAGTCTGCCTCTGTAAAGATTCCAAAACCATACTCACTGCCATAGAGTTGATTCCAACTGGTGGGTTCCAACCATCAACCTTTTGGGTAGCAGCCTAATGGCTTAACCACTGTACCACCAGAGCTCCTTCTATAAATATTATAGCCTTAGAAACCTTATGGGTTATAGCCTTGGAAACTTCTACTCTGTTCTTAGGATCATTATGAGTCAGAACAGACTCATCAGCAATGGTTTGGTTTTTGGTTAAGCTTCACAGAAGATCCAGAGCAGAGTGCAGAAAGAGGTCAAACTACAGAAGACTTCCCGCCTTTGTGACCTAGATCTCTAGACAACATGACTTCTTGCTTAGTGCAAATGAACTTTTCTGTGCTACAGAAAAATACTTTCTGAAGCATGTGTTGAATAATGATGCTTACCTCATTGGATATCCATTTAAACAAGCATCACAGTTCACAAGGAGCTCTGGTGGCATAGTGGGTAAGACAAAAAGTCAGTGGTTCAAATCCACCAGTTGCTCCATGGGAAGAAGATGAGGCAATCTATTCCTGGAAAGATTTACATCCTTGCAAACCCAATGGGGTTGCTATGACTTAGAATTGACTCAATTGCAGTGTTTGATTTTTTTTTAATCACAGTTCACATTCCACACCCTCAGCACTTCTCCAAGACATTATGTTCTCAGGATTGTGCCTCTGAGAAGAGACTTATCCATCTTAATTAACTCTGCTCTAAACTTTCCATTGTCTCCACTTCCTGCTTTCTGTCCTCCATTTCAGGTCCCTGTGCTGCAGGAGTGGTGGGGATCAAGATGCCTCGGTATTGCCTATTTGGAGATACTGTCAACACAGCCTCCAGGATGGAATCCACTGGCCTTCGTAAGAATGTGGAATTTCTTTTGTTTTTTTTTAGAAGGCAGAGATCCGTCTTCAAGCAGAAGGGAATTATAGGATAAAATGCACAATAAGGAGCTACAAAGTGCAGTGAAATGGAGAATGACCCTTCACAGTGGCAGAAAATAATCCTGTGTCCATCTCATACTTGCTGCATTTGGTTTTGTTGTTGTTGTTTATTGATAATTGTTTTATTTTTCCTTCTTTGCTTAGTTTTAGACTGTTTCTATTATGTTTGGCTCACTTGCAATTCATTCAGATGTGTTCTACCAGGAATAGTTATGAAATCTAGCATAGATTAAAGCAAGTTTTTAAAAAGTCAGTAGGCTTGATAGGGAGTATACACCATGGTTCAATTTCCTATTTTTCTTTTATCTGGTTTTCCTAGGAATTGCTTTTACTAAAGAAAAAATCTAAGTATTTGTTATATGCCAAAGTCTATATTGTATTTACCTGGCAAGAGAGAGGCACTATGTGTTACATATAGTAGATGCTCGATAAATATCATTGACAGGCATAGTAATAGAGATATATAGAATAGAGGCAAAACACATTGGTAGATGTGGGTGGGGCTTACCAAAACACAAGAGGCAAAATTGTATTTTGGCAGTTATTGGGTTCACCATGAGTCAGAATCTGCTCTGTGTCAACTAAGAAAGACAATGAATAATCTGGTACTGGTTTGTATCGAAAAAAAATCATGGTATAAAGGAAAGAACAAGGTTGGAGTCAGGCAGACTTGGATTAAATTATAACTATTTAGATCACTGGCTATGTAAATTGGAGGGAAAGTTACCTGTTCTTTTTATGCCCCAGAAAGATGAAAACATAAAATGAAGATGGGATACCAGCCTTCTAGGAGGGATTCTGGAAGGACTTGATGTGATGTTCGTAAGCACTTAGCAATCCTCTGATACATGGTAGACATACATTGTGAGGCTGCCATTATTCTTATCATTGTTACTGATTGTGACATGGCTATTAGACACCCATAGTGGGAAAGGTGGTCTACAGCAATGGATGGACCTATGAATTGAAATACCCTGGTGACTTGTTTGTCAGAAGAATAATAGTATCCTTAAGAGTAAAGTTTGAGAAAATCAAGACATGTAACTCTCTGTACTTTGCCCCCTACTTAGTGGAACTTTTACATGGGGATCCTACACCAGATTCCAACTCCCAAGCTTGCCACAAGCCAAATGCAAAACCAGGCCCCAGAGGCTACCAGTCTGACCTGGAATGAGAATCTATGGATCACAACCAGGGGAACCCCTTTATTCTGCACCTGGAAAATCAGTGCTAGACCCTCTTTCTTCCTATATGTGATAATATTTCTTATCTCACTGATATTACTTATAAGTGTTCTTCCAGCAAAGTATCTAAGATATCAAGAACACCCAAAACAAGGAGAAACAATGTGGCTATCTAACATTTCCACCTGGACATGATTTTTATTTCTCTCTTTCACACTGTCAGCCTTGAGAATTCATGTGAGTGGCTCCACTATAGCCATCCTGAAGAGAACCGAGTGTCAGTTCCTGTATGAAGTGAGAGGAGAAACATACTTAAAGGTAAGGAACCACAGAGGCAGTGCACAGAGCACTCACAGACACACATGTGCCACCTCCCTTGAGAAAGGACATCCAGAATGGATACCTTGTGGCTGGGGAAGTTAAGGAGCCTGAGGATGAGGAATTGTTTTCTGTGCTCCCCACAATGATCACTCACTATCCCCTGTAGGAGGAGCCACCACCAAAAAATATGAACTCAGAACTTTTCTTTACTCCATGGCATCTTTTTGATAATTGGAACTATGACCAATATATGATAAAATGCTGCCACATTTCTTCCACACATATCCAAACTTTATCCCCAGTTCCTTAAAGCCAGAGCTATAACCTGGTCTAGTATTTATTTAACGTAAGTCAAAACTCCCATCTCTTCACTTCCCTTCTCTCACTGAAAGATGCTGCTACTGTCTAAGGTCACTTCTCTTTACTGTTCTGAAGCTCTGGAGCAGTGACTCTCAAGATGTGGCCCACACTCCTGACAGCATCATTTGGGTGCTTGCTAAAAGGCAGATACCTGGACTCCCCACCAACCAATTAAACCACTTATGATGGACTTGACTCCAACTCATGGTGACTCCACTTGTGTGGGAGTAGAACTCACAAAGGTTTCCAATAGCTGCTTTTTCAGACCACCAGGCCTTTGCTTCCAGCACCTCTGGATGGACTTGAACCTCTGACCTTTTGGTTAACAGCAGAGTATATTAACCATTTATACCACCCAGGGACTCCAGCTCCCTACTAGGAGCTACTAAATAAGTCTTTCTGTAGGTGTAGATCAGGAATATGTATTTTAAACAAGCATTTCAACTCTAAATTCTCCATGTTTTGCCTTAAATTTAGATCAGCTGTTCCCAGTTGGCTATTAGGCTGCTTTTCATAGGTCATTACAATCTTTTCACAATTGATCTCAAGCAGAACTTCAAATTGACTCATTCCAGTTCAACCCCCCTCTGAGAATTTGCAGAATTTGCATTTCTACTCCAGATATACTGAATCAGAATTTAGAGTTTCCGCAAGATCCCCAGAGATTCTTACAGATTCACAATTGTTATATACATAAGAATCACCTGAGGACCTTGTGAAACTGTAAAATCTGATTCAGTATCTCTGGGTAGAAATGAAAATTTTCAGCAGGAGGTCCAACCACAATGAACTGGTGGGAGCCCTGATCTGAGGCTGATTATCAACTATCAGGTTATCTGGCTCCAGGAGTCATAATGATTCTGACCTTTAAACTTTGATTACAAATTGTAGAAGCCTACTTTTAGCAAGGTGCCTAACCTCACACTCACTTTTTGAGCCCTCCATAAATATGCTATTTGCACAGAGCATTCCCCACAAAATAGAAGTGGTTTTTGAATTAATATAGTCTAAACACAACTGGCAAACCTTTTTTTTAAAATGAATTATTTCCTTTTTTGATATAATCATCCAGTCCCCTTTCCAAAAATAAGTTCTAGCAAATACAGAGTTTCTAATAAGTTTCCATTCATGTTATAGCCTCCAAATACAAACATAAACTCGCTGCTGTCAAGTCGGATCCAACTCATAGCAACCACTCCTTGGGTTTCCAAGGCAATATCGCTACAGAAGTAGATTGCCCAACCTTCTTTCCGAGGAGTGGCTGGTGGATTTTTGCCACCAGAGCTCCTAGCCTCCAAATAGGACCCAACAAATATAACTTACTATTTACAATTTACACACTTAAGGAAGGGAAACAGTGGCAAAAAGAATGGGCTGGCAGGAAATGTGGGCAATGAAAACCAGTTGGATTTTTTGGCATAGCCTCTTTAATTTGGAGTTTTTGCATTGTTGTTATAGTGATGTTTTTGAAATGCCTTAGGGGGGAAAGAAAGAAAACTCTACTTTGAAAAACATGTCAGGGGAACAAGAAAAAGACTTATCTTTAAAATAGCACTTGGAAATAAAGATCTGTCTAGAGATAATGCAAAACATATCAGAAACATGTGGTACGCTTAAATATTGGCCCTAATGAGAAATTTGGAGGTCAAACGTCTCTGGGAAAAAGGACATGGTAGGAACAGTGGGCTAGCACTGCCTGTCTCATCTGTCCTTGATGGATATATACCTTTTTTGTTCACTAGGGACGAGGAACTGAGACCACCTACTGGCTGACCGGGGTGAAGGACCAGGAGTACAATCTGCCAGCCCCTCCAACTGTGTAAGCTGTGGATGTGGCAGGGAGGGAGAGGGACATTGGAAGTTTTGACTTTTTAAGTTGTACAATATACAGTCAATTTATTTTGGGGAAGTGTTTTGCAGGGTGGCAATGATAGATTGGATTCCAGGTAAGGGGCTATATACCCAGGAGACACTTTAGAAACCTCTTCTCTGGCTGCTAGAAACTAAGTATTCCAGACTTGCTCAGAAAAATAGGAATCAGTTTAGAATCCACTAATGCATGTCTAAAGAGCCCTGATGGCTCAGTGGTTAAGCACCCAGCTAACCAAAAGTTCAGCAGTTTAAACCTACCAGCCTCTTTGTGAGAGACAGATGAAGCAGGCTGCTTCCATAAAGCTTACAGGCTTTGGAAACCTTATGGGGCAATTCTCCTCTGTCCTATCAGGTTGTTATGAGTCTGAATGGCAACAGGAATGCATATCTCCTTCTGTTAAGAGCAGGGCATTCTAGAAGCAAAGAGCCTCTCTCTACATTTCCAGCCCTACCTGCATCTCACTGCTGAGACACTGAGGCAAACAGGGCCTCCCCACCACCTCACTCTAAGACTGCTGTTCTGAGTCTTCACATCAAGTTTGTGTTCTCCTTGAGATGAGGAAAGTAAAGTTTCAGGTCTAGCTAACAGGTTTCAGTTCTCCTAAATGTGACTCAAATTGTTATTCAGTTGCACATTGGTAGATGGTGCAGCAATCAGTCGTGTGGCTGTTGCCATGGCTTTTGCTATGGTAGAGAAATCTTGTCTCATAGACTCATAAGTGTGGACCCCAGACAGATGGGAAGCCTATGGAGATGCTGTTTTAGTTCCCTAGTGCTGCTGTAACAGAAATACCACAAGTGGGTGGTTTTAAAGAACAGAAATTTATTTTCTTACAGTTCAGGAGGTTAGAGGTCCAAATTCAGGGCACTAGTTCTAGGGGAAGGCTCGCTCTCTGTTGACTCTGGGGGAATATTCTTGTGCTCTTCACATGGCATCTATCTCCTCCTCCTCCCTCTTAGTGCCTACTTGTCTGTGTCTATGCTCCTTCTTATAACTCAGAAGTGATTAGGTTTAGAATACACCCTACAGCGATATGGCTCACTAACATAACAACAACAAAACCTATTCCCAAATGTTATTACATTCACAGGTATAAGGGTTCGGTTGCCAACACATATTTTGGAGGACATAATTCAATCCATAACATGCCAAAACAGCCTAGACATTTCTTGGGGCTCAGGTGACATGTCCTCTTACTAGGAGTACCACAGTTCATTCCTAACTCTTGAAACCCTTGAACCTTTTCTGAGCCCTCTACAAACAAGATCCACCCTTCTAGGTACATGCAGGACAAATGAATTTTTAGGACTGTGTGGCAGGGGCCCTAGCATCCTCCTTGCTTCTTTTCCCTGGCATGTTTTTCCCCTTCCTACAGTGGCATATGTCAATTTAGCTCCTCCTAACCATGTCTTCTAATTCTAGCAGCAGATTTTTTCACTGTGAAATTGAAACGTAATTTTCAATTTGAAATACATTCTGCTTACTCTATAACTACATATAGCAGGAGTGAACTATCTTAGGCTCATCAAAGACAAAGATCCCTTTGTAATTCTTTGTACTTCCTGCATCCAGCAATGTCTAGCACAGACTATGCATTCAGTGAGTATTTAACAAACTAAACTGTTTATTCTGAAACTAAGAGGTATTCTGTAAAAATTACTGAGAAGTTTCATTTTCCCTCCTCGACCCCTTCCAGGGAGAATCAACAGCGCTTGCAAGCAGAATTTTCAGACATGCTTGCCAACTCTTTACAGAAAAGACAGGCTGCAGGGATAAGAAACCGAAAACCAACAAGGATAGCCAGCTACAAAAAAGGGAGTCTGGAATACTTGCAACTGAACACCACAGGCAAGGAGAGCACCTATTTTTAAATGAGGCCTATGGACCTCATTTCATCCAGCTGTACTTGGACAGTGACCTCACGTGTCCTGAAAGCCTGCATTTTCCTGCCACCTCAAAGAGAAAAAGACTTCGATGCATTCTCCATGGCATTGGCTTTCCAGGTGGAACACAGACTGTCTTCTGTGAATCAGGTGTGAACTCTCAAGGCAGTACTCTCTTCTGCCCCAGGGAGCTTCCCCCTGGGTAAGAGGAAGAATGAATACACAAGCTAGAACCTGTGGAGATTTTTGTTCTTACTTCATTTATTTTGTTTTTGTTTTGTTAACTAACCCCTTTTCTTCCTGTTTTCATGATAGGTTTTTTTTTGTTGTTGTTGTTATTTTTTTTAATTGTCCCAATTATATTTTAAATGCCTTATTGACATTAAATTATATTTAACTCATAATTCTTGCAGAAAGCATGTTATATTTTAGGCAGGAATAAAAGTAAAAAGTTTACTGCATCTGTGTATATGTTTTCATCTATTCTATCCATTTTCCTGGAATGCGTCAGATATCATCTTGTGCTCACTGGAAAACTGATTAAATTCCCCTTCACTGAAGCAGGGCAGAGCTAGCATTGCTACTCAGAGGTTGTTGTCGTTGTTGTTATGTGCCATTGAGTCAGACTCGTAGCGACCCCTCCTTGGGTTTCCGAGACAGTATCACTACGGAAGTAGATTAACTCATCTTCCTTCCAAGGAGTGGCTGGTGGGTTTGAACCACCAGCCTTCTCGTTAGCAGTCAAGTGCCTTAGCCACTATGCTACCAGAGCTCCCCAGGGGTAAGAACCCTAAAATCAGTATCACTTGCTGCATATGAGGGTATTTTTGTGTCTGTCCTTGTGCAGTGAGAAATAAGATATGCAGCTGTCTTGGATCTGGGATAAAGTAAAATCCTATTTACCTATGAAGACATAGTGCTTTAAACTCTGCAGATATCTCCTTCGCACCATCTAGGAAGGAACCCTGGTGGCACAATGGTTAAACTGTTGGCTGCTAACTGAAAGGTCAGCAGTTTGAACTCACTAATGGCACCACGGCATAAAAGACCTGATGGTCTGTTTCCATAAAGATGTTTGCCTAGGAAACCATATAGGGAATTTTACTTTGTCTAAAAAGGTCACTATGTGTTGGAATCAACTTAACAGCACACAACCACCACCATCCAGCAACCATCCCCCTAGCCTTTCTTTCAGCATTTTAGCATGACCTATTTACTTGCAGTCTCTGGGAAAATGATGCAAGGTAGCTGGTGGAGTAGACTAGAGTCAGTAAATGCAAGAACAAACTTGTAACACTTCTGGCACTAACCGTCAAAATGGAAACAATTACTCCAACCACATTACTCCTCCCACAAATCTCTGCTTTGGAAACTGCGACAGAGATTATGAAGAATATTATGTCTTCTTTGTCACTTAGGAAAGCAGAAAATCAAAAAATAAAAAAATTGACTCCTGATCTACAGGATGAGCACTCACTATGCAGTAACAGTCCTTACACAGAAATCTGGAGGTTTATAATCTAGAGGTACCAAAACAGTCTCTGGCCCTAAAAGCTTTGAATCTAATCGAAGAGAGAGAAATGTAAAGAAATAGGTGGATTTTGATACCAAACAGAATTTTTGACAGCAGGCAAACTTAGCAGCTCAAAGACCAATCAGAAAAACTCGAAAGTTATTGTTAATGCTAATGGTGCATTGATTAAATTACTCCTAAGTGGAAGGGTCCATAGTTTACCTTCCCTCATGGAAGCTACATGATTGTGAAATAATTCTTGACCTTGAAACAGAGGTGTGGCCTCACTTGGTCACTTAGTAGTGTGGATATGATATTCATGATGACCGTCACCTAAGAATGGAACCCAGCCAAGGGTCAAATCCCTGATCTGCTCTTTTCTAGCTGTAAATTAATTAATCTCTCTAAACCCTTGTTTTAACAGTAAATCATGACTCAGAGAGTTGTTGTGAAGATTGGGGAGAAAAAAAACTTGTCAGGCACCAATCACACTATTAGTCACATAGTAGATTCTCAACAAGGTAATTTCTACTTTTCTCCTCTGCTCACCTTATAAATCAGAACTAATAACTTTCAAAGCCAGGACTTCTATATGAGCTAAGTATACAAAAGATTATTTTTAAAAATTGACCGCAGAATTCTTCAAATGAGAACAAAAATAGAAGGACTCACTAATGAACCCCCATCTATTTATTGATCGATTTCAAGAATGTTCAGCATTTTCCCAGTCTTCTTTTATCTTCTACTAACTTTGTTTTGCCAGAGTATTTTAAAGGAAATTTCTAATTATTTTTCACCTACAAATATTTCTATATGTCTTTTTAACACGACATTGACAAAATTTTTGTAAAGGGCCAGATAGTAAATATTTTAGGCTTCTTGGTCAGACTGTCTCTGTAGCAGCTATTCAACTCTAACTCACTCACTGCCATTGAGTCGAATCCGACCCATAGCAAGCCCTCCTTGGGTTTCTGAGGTGGTATCTATACGGAAGTAGATTGTCTAGTCTTCCTTCCGAGGAGTGGCTGGTGGGTTTGAACCACCAACCTTCAGGTTAGCAGCCAAATGCCTTATACACTGTGCCACTAGGGCTCCTCTTTATACAATTACTTTGTTAAAAGCAGGATCCAAAGAGGTCCGTACATTGCATGTGGTTGAAATGTCACAGTATCTGTCTTAGTTCTCTAGTGCTGCTGTAACAGAGATAGCACAAGTGAATGCTTTAACAAACAGAAATTTATTCTCTTACAGTTTAGGAGGCTAGATGTCCAAATTTAGGATGCTTGCTCTAGGGGAAGGCTTTCTCTCTCTGTTAGCTCACAGTTTGGGAGGAAGGTCCTTGTCTCCTTTTAGCATTTGTGGGCCTGGCATTCCCTAAAGCTCTCCATGTATCTTGACATCAACCTTCCCCCTGGGTCTAGGAGGTTCCCAGTGCAGAGACCCTGGGTCCGAAGGACCTGTAATGCTCTGGCTCTTCTTTCTGTGTTGTAGTAGGTCCCTTTCATTTCTGCCTGGTTGTTTAATCCTCTTTATATCTCAAGCTTGACTCAAAGGTCCCTGAGTAGCACAGACAATCTGCACTTGGCTAGTAACCCAAAGGTTGTGTGTTCAAACCCATCCAGTGGTACCTGAAGATCCAAGCCTGGCAAGCAACTTCTGTGAAGATTACAGTGAATCCAACTCTGGAGCCTATGGAGTCCCTTCAAGTGAACACATAAACAGATGCCTCAAAGGAGAGTGATTCAATGAAACCCCTTAGACTATGGTCCCTAGTTGCCCTTCAGGTCTGGAATTGAATGCACTCCTGTGGCTTCCAGCCAAACAAAAGACAGGTATATGAGGTGAACATTTACATTAGATAGAGACACTCCTTGACGAGATCAGTCAGGGGAGAATAGAAAGGCTGTGTATGCAATGGAGACAGCTCAGGGGGCAGGAGTGCATGGGAAGGAAGTATACAGGGAAGAGGTAACTAAGGGGAGGATGTGTGAAGAGAGCTGTTGCATTGTGGGAAATTTCAGTCAATGTCACGAGACAAAATGTATGTGAACTGCTTTGTGGAAAATGAATTTGCTCTGTAAATTTTCATCCAAATCACAGTAAAAATTAAAAAAAAAAAAAAAAAAACACCTGACAATGCAGAGGATCTGGAAACAGGACCTTGGAAGAAATGGAAAATCACCTTGAGAGTTAATTAGGAGGTGGAATCAACAAAAATTGATTAACTAGATTTGAGTGATGTATTAAACACCTAAAGAGGGTGGCTTTTACTGTATGTCAAGTACACATCAATAAACCTGAGAGGAAAAAATAAGATTGACTCAAGATACAACTTAATTTAGTAGATTTCATCCTGCCTCATTAACATAAGTGCCTCTAGTCCTGCCTCATTAACATAGTAGAGGTGAGGATTTATAACACGTAAGATAATTATATCCAACTATAAAATGGAGGATAATTACATAATACTGAGAATCATGGCCCAGTTAGGTTGATACATATTTTGGGGAGAACACAATTCAATCCATAACAATATCATTTAGCCTATAACATTTCCCTCATACTGGCTTCCCCCACCCATGACATTTATTTGTTAAAGTAACTGGGTCATTTTCCCTAGATTTCTCCCCGCACATTGAATTTAGCTGATTTGTTATTCATGGTTTTATTTAATTGGTTCTTATATTTTCCATATATCCTAGAATCTAGTCGTTATATTTAGAAGCTCGATTAAATTCATTTAGCCAAGATTTCATTTACACTGCTAGTGTCTCTCTGGGTAACAGTTAAAGAATAATGCATTGGGATTCCGGTTCTGATTACCAGCAGTGAGACTGGATTATGATGTCAACCTTACCAGAAACTCTAAGCCCTCTTCTCACCTCAAGCTTTCAAAATGACTGAAAAAATATCTATATACCCATAGTAGTATTGGGAAACAGGAAAGAGTGTCCTTAGTGGATCAGAAGTTATGGGACACTCCTAAAAGGTGGAAGACAGATGGGATTTGATTGAATGAGGAAAGACTAGCTCAAAATATGTGTGGAAAAGATAGGAGGGGCTCTGGTGGTGCTCCAGGCTCAGAAGGCATAGACAAGGAAAGCAAGGGAAAGTGTGGGTGTAACAAAAAAGGTTACCAGTTGGCACCCAGTAGCAGCAACCAACTGATTTGGCACCTCACCCTCCTTCCTAGCAACAGACATCAAAGGCATCTCCACCCAGAAGGAAACTGTGCCTGTAGGCCCTTGGATATCTGATTATATTCAGAAAGACTCAGGGAACCATGTGCCCAGAAAATTTACTGATATACCCCATATAACAACACATCTGTCTACAATCACTCAAAGACAGGCTAATGAAATATTGTCAAATACAAAGAACCAAGCATAAGTAATTTTTGAGGAAATGAAAGACAGATATTGATTACAACAAAGGATTAACAGTTAATAGAGCAAAGAGAACTTTAGAATATGTA